GCTCATCCGCTCGAGACGGAAATTATATCTTCCAAGCAGAAACCTCCAGTGATCATTCGCCGTAAGAGGTGGAAGACCGGAGTTGATTTGTCAGAGGATGCAGTTTTTGAAGAAACCCTGCGCGACTTGCTGGCCAAGGAGCATGGTGGATTTGAGCTGGGACCGATTGTCAATTGCGAGAAATCGTATCGAATGCCGGAAGAACTGATGACAAAAAGGGGACCGGCTAACAGTTCTCTTCCTGAAAAGCGGAGCAGCTCAGGTCTGCAGGGTGGTGATGTGGCCATGCAGCTTTGATCCCAGCACTCTAAAGGCTGTGGCAGCGCTGGCGTTTGGTTGCTCTTGACATTGGATGGGATAAATTTGCATATGATACCCCAGGCAGATCAAAAGGCTTCACTTTTTGGACCTCCACGAATTCCAATAGGACGTAATCACATTTCCTGATGAATCGTCTGCAGTAGGCTTTCCTTGATCATTGTCGTTGATTGGGCCTGTGGGAGGCGGATTTGCGGGTGGTTTCCAAGCAAGTTGGCCCTCCCAGGCTGTCGTCTCGACGTGAAACACCTTTCCACCTTTGACGCATCTTTGGTAGATGAGCCGTTAGCACCTTTGTGAAATTGAGAACCGAGAGAGTCACGTACTTCCTAAACAGCCTCACGATGGGGTAGCACTCGATCCTGGCCGTCCCGGTGCCGCTCGCCAGTGCCCGCTCATACTGTTGCTTGGGCGTGGTGCAGCTATACTGGACGAGTTCCATCAACTCGCAATCCCGCTTGAGATCAAAGTCCTGGGGCAGTTTGCGCGATTTTTCCTTGTAGTTGACCGTGAGCGAGCGGACGTGCTGGTCGAGCTCGGAGACGGGGAATGGATGTTCGGGCGGCGCCATTTTTTTTTCTCTTCTGACTTTTTCCTTTTGTTGTTGCTCTTCAAATAATCAATCAATCCCCTTTCCAGTCGTCCGTTACCAGAGCGAAGAACGACGAACGGATTATTATTCACCACGCGGTGGTATGCCATGGCGGCGGCATCATGTCGGCGGAACAATATGGAGCTCGCCTCCTCCAGGGGGTGCAGGAAGAGAGTCTTGAGCAGGTAATTAATTAATGTCTACAATTTCCGCGCGCCACCTTCCCTTGCACCACCATGTCATTCGCAGCCTTGTTTCATGTCTCCTCAACACCATCCTCAGTGGTCGCAAATGACACACACGTCCAGGTTAAAGGCTATCTAACACATTGTATTTTGGGTTCAAATCCTAGTTCCTAGCAGAGCTCAGATGGACGGTCGAGCCACAACCCAGAGCCGTTCTAGGAGTTCCACAACTGGACACTCTCCTCGAATCACTCCGCTATCCAGAAACACTCGCAAACACCCGCCGTCGGGAATGGTTGTCCTCGCCAGCAGCGACATCTGTGGTCTATGGCAGCGATGATGACAGAAGTAACGAGGATGAAGACTCGGACAACGTCGAGACCTCTCGTCTCAGACCTCAGCCACGAGCATCTGCAGAGAAACCCAAACCTGCAACGGTCGAGCTCACAAGTGTCTCGTCCGCGTCTGGGAAGACCTCTTTGCTCTCCCATCTCTGCGCGATATCAGTCCTTCCGAGAGACCTGGGCGGCAAGGAGTCGACAATCGTATACATCGATTCCGACGGCCGCTTTTCCGCTGCACGGCTGGCGCAGATCATGTTGCACCATGTCCAGAATCACCAGTCCAAGGCCAGCAAAGAAACCCCCTCTACCTTGACGGACTCAGAGATCCAACAAGTCATCCGGTCCTCTCTAGACCACATCCACGTTTTCCGACCCCAGTCGTCGGCTCAGCTGATTTCCACCCTCTCCTCTCTGCATGCGTACCTCTTTGATAGATCGCGGCATCACTCGATGCATCGCCCTCTAAGCCTAATCGTGATCGACTCTGCCACCGCGTTTTACTGGCAAGACCGGTCCGACCAGGCCATGGCGCAGCTCGAGTCTCCAGGAACGGGGTTGCGGGGCGGGGGGCCGTCACCGTCAAGGGCCGCGCAGGCGATTGAGATCCTCAAGACCCTGCAAGAGAAGTTCGCATGTGCCGTCGTCTTCAGCGCTGTTTCGACTATTTCGACTCCTCCGTTTCCCTCGTCCTCGACGCGCCCGCCCCACGACACGACCACATCCGGTCCCACGATCCTCGCGCCCGCAGCTTCAGACACGCGCTTCGTCTCCCCCTGGACGTCGTACGCCACGCTCTCCCTCTCCCTCGCGAGGCTGCCCATCGCGCAGTTCCCCGCCCAGATGGGCTTGGAGGAGTGTTTGAGGGACCGGGAGAAGCGACTCGACGCGGTCCGCAAGGGCCGGTTCCTCGCGACTCTCGTCCCCAGTAGTGGTTCGGTGCCACTCGCAGCGCCATCGGCGACAGCGCAGGGGCGGGCCGGGAAGGAGGGCGGCGAGAGCGGCACCAAAGCCATCGGGGGAAGCGCGTTCGAGTTCCGTATTACAGGGGCTGGCGTCGAGTTCGAGTAAACGATGGAACGGAACTTGTCTACATACATCGTACGAGGTACCTTGCCATCACGCAGTCAGATATGATATCTGTCGAATTGTCCAGCGGGAGACAACTATTCTTCATCAAGTCATTGCTTAAATCTCCCAATCCCCCCTTTGAGGAATTCACTCATGGTCTCATTATTATTCTTCTCAAAATCGAGTATATCTAGACGCCCGACACCCTCTACTTTCCGCAAACAGAGTAACCTCGCCGGCTATATACATCTTTGTCTTTTCTTGATCGTGATCTATGTACGAAGAGTCATCTCATATCCAGTCAGTCAGTCAGTTCGTCATGAATGTCCTCCTCGCTAGAAGTACATCGAGCTTTACTATGGCAGGCACATCCTTTCCGTTCAAAGCACGAAATTCTCCTGTCAATCAGAGTGGACATGGCCCGTTCCCTCGACCACTTCCTTCGCGCACACTTTCCTGCACTCCTCAAAAACTCTCACTTGCTTGGCCACTTCCTCTAATCGGCTGAGAACCTCCATGTTGCCCTTGGTGAAACCGTAGATGGCATATGGGAGGCCTGTGTCTTTGCAGAATTCCCGTACATATACCTGTGCCTTTCGGAGATTATGTCTTGGTATCCTCGGGTACAAGTGGTGGATGGCTTGGAATTGGAGTCCGCCGTGGACAAAGTCAAGCCACGGAGGGCAGTCAACGTCCATGGTGGTTCGAAGCATCTTCTGCGGGAAGGACTCCTGCACGCCCATGTCGGTGGTGGACATGGCAAAGTGAGAAAGTGTGATTTGTACGTGGAGCGGTGCCGTGATCATATGGCTGATCATGACAAACACGAAGCGGTCCCATGCAGTGGGGATTGAGCGGTACACAATTCCGTAGCCGAACCAAGCCCAGAAGACAAACTGCCCAAAGATCTCAAGGTAGCGATGCCACCATGCAGGTCCCTTTTTAGGCGCCTGGCCTAAAAAGAGATACTCCCAAGAGAGGCGGTAGAGATTGAAGCGACCCAGCAGGAGGATTGGATAGTACAACCAGTGTTGTTTCGCTATGGCCAGTTTGGCAATGCTGTCAAACTGCATGATGCGTTCGTAGTAAGTGGAACGTAAGGACGAGAAAAATCGGGTCGAGATGGCGAAGAAAGGCATGTGCTCGATGTCCGGATCATGTTCAGGTGAATTGGTGACAATATGATGGACGTTGTGATTGCGTTTCCACCAGCCGATGGACAGACCACCCAGGAAGTCGGCGATGAAGATTCCGATACATGTATCAATGTGAAAGTTGTGTGTTATACCCATATGTCCGGCATCGTGGGCGGTAAACACCAGCTGGTGCCAGAAAAGGCCGAGAAGGGCCCCAGAGAGGGCGTAGTAGGAGTAATGGAGTGCGAGGAGAGACGATGAGAAGAGAAGGACATATCTGCAGCATTCGACCCCATAGGCGCCGTAAGGACATTCGTAAAGACCAGCTGCTCGTATTTGAGCGTTGGTCTCTCGATACTTCGCGACGATTCGATCCTGTGAGCTGGGATCTAATGGTGGATACTTCAGTATATCTGAGTATTTTTCGGCTGCGAGCTTCGTCTGGATTGGGTCGTCGCTGGCATTAGACCGCTCACGCTCAGACAAAGAGGCGGTGGACAATGAGGTCTCTCGTTCTCGAATATCGACCGGATCGAAGATGGGGGATGGAGGTGCAGTGCTGTCACTGCAAGAACTGATAGCACCGTCGGTTTGTACATCTGACTCCTCCTCCGCCTCCACCTCTTTGCCATCCTGATCCTTGACATATGGTCTGAAATGTCCACCCTGTATTGGAGGCAGGAAGTTGGTCCATCTCCCCTGAATCCGCCCGATCACGAACTTCTGCATGTGCACCTGTGCCTCTGGGGAATGTAGTGCACGGATCTCATCGGTGCCATCTCTTCCGACCATATGCAATATCGGCTTGTCGCCACCAGGGTGAAAGGAGAGCCACGCATCAGCCTTGATCACCTGGCCATCGAGGATTATGATCTTCCTTCCTTGCGCTATCAGGCCCTCAATCTCTCGCCGTGACCATAGGCGGTCCTTGGGGTTTGTTTCGGTGGTCATGGATCGGTCGTACCTCTGGTGTCGGTGTCGATCAAAGGGGTACGAGGGTATTCATCCAGGGAGAGGTAGCAAAGGCGGTGAGTCGAAAGTTGTCTGAGCCTGAGGGGGGGTTTGGGAGAGACATTTCGACGTGGAGTTGAAAGCTTGTCCCGCATAAGTTTCCTCGAGAGACGCAGCTGCGGTTGGTACCCACACGCGTGTCACACCAACCGCAGTCTTATGAAGCGTACTTCGTACCTCGTTTGCTTGTTGTTTACAATCACTTGGACAGAAGAGACTCAAACACCTTAGTATCAAGAGATCACCACCAATGCATACAGCTGCTGTTGTTTTACGCCGAGAAGAATTATGAGAGAGACTACTGACAATATCCCTCTCCACTCACGCCAATGGAAAGCATCGCTTGTTACATTCCCGTTCGTTTGCATCTGTTAACGGCGTGGCCATACTGTGGATAGGCATCGAACCAACGGTCCCTCATGGCCCAGTTGTCATAATCAAAGATATGGCTCTCGAATTTGTCGGTAAGGTGCACCGCATTACCCTGCACGTCCGTGATAAAGACTGGCTCAAGCCGAGGCCACTGGACGGTGACGGATTCGGTAAAATCGCGCTCGAACTGTGTGTGGTTCTCCAAATAGAGAGCAGGGTGCTTGGTGAGTATGTCCCGAAGTTCGGGAAAGGCAAGAAAGTCGATCGACACCGGATGTGGCACGCACTCCTGGGCTTTTGTTGGGCGGTAGAACGCTGGTACATCCTCGTAAGAACGGGCGACTGGGTATACCCTCCACTAAGGGGTTCAGATCGTCAGTCATGATGTGCAGCATATCATCTCCACATCGTTGAAAAGAGACTTACCCGCAATAGCCGATACATGAGGAGGTAGATTGCGACGTTGTCGGCGTCATTCGGACAGCGAAACTCATCACAAGTCACGTTGAGAATCTCCACAAGCGGATGCCTCTCGGGGTTGCGGAGAAAGAAGTTGTCGATGCTGGGCATGCGAGGGAGCTGCATCATTTGTGCATCTGATGGATGATGTCGAAAGAGGTCGACATGCGCCGTCCACAGTGCTCGCGAGATGAATGAGTAGAAGCAGCCTCGGCCCGCCGGGTGCTCAACGGAGCACAAAGAGCAAAACGTGTCCGCTACAAGGCCCCCCGCCAGCTGCGAGGATGAGGGTGGGATGGCAAAGCTACAGTGCAGCTCAGCTGGAGCGGCGTGTCGACTCACACGTGTCCTCCACGTCGACTCGGGGCTGCTTGCGGCCGAGTTTGATACAGCACCACGAGCCATTTGAGATAATACAATAAGAGCAGCCGAGGCGAGCTCGTCATCATGAGAACGCTTGCCAGGTTTGTCGATCAGTGGCTCACCACTGCTCGTGGGGTAGGCTGCTGTTGTGTATTGGGATGCCTCTCCATCCACGCTGGAGCCTGGGAACACGGTGGTGGTTATTGTACCGGCCGCTTCTTCGCACAGACCACGGTGTCGGGTTGTTGCTCGTAAAAAATCTGAAGGTGAAGGAGCTTGGGCATTGTTGGCACCCAGAGGCTCCGCTTCCTCCTCACAAAAAACTCGGCTGGCTGGCTTCCTCTCAAGCTCGGCCACTCTGGCCCGGAGGCTGTGGACAAGTTGTTCCAAGGCCTCCGATCTTCTCTGCTCCGCTTGTCGCTTTGTGCGCATATGCCGTCGATCAAGTAGACGTTTCCGCTCCAATTGAGCTTCGGATCGGACACGGCGATTCATGGGTACTTTCTCGTTCACCTTGGTTGGGTCAAAGTGCCTGATTGTATCAGGATGTTCTCCGCTGGACACGGGTACATGTGCAGAAGATGTAGCGTGTGGACAGCAGTGGGAGAGTCTGATTTATGTACGAGGCAATTGGTTCAGGTCTTCCGAAGAGGAATGTTTCTTACTAAACTCTGTGGCCAATTATGAGGAACGTGTGCATAACCGACAGGAGTGGAGACAACCGACTGGCCGGAGACCGCCCCCCCTTGCCTTACGTGACCGCTCCCCCGGACTTTCTCCAGAGCGGGGCTTGCGCATAGTTCCCATCGTCCTGTATCGAGTACCGAGCAAGGGTTCAGCCAACAAGCAGTAGGTACGCAGAAAGTAATACCTGCTGCAGATATTATGTCCAAGTTTTAAACGTGACATGACTACCCTATTGATGGATTTATGATATATCGAAGAGCCTACACAGCTTGGGATTTGGTGGGATGGTGTTCTGACGCTGTGAGGACTGGTTCCCCCATAAAATGATCGTTTCAGGGGTACTACTTCACATGGCCAACAGAGGTTCAACGGTTGGAGGGGTCGTGTCTCTGCACGGAACGACAGGGTTTCTCCACGAAGAAGATGCGTGTCCCAAGGTTGGTGGAGACTATTCGTTTTCAGCACAATTTACGACACTTGCTATACGACCCTGGCCCAATAACGGCAATGGTTAAAAAACATGCGAAACCTCTGGTTGCTCTGCGCTTAGTGCTTGGTAGGTGGTCAGTTTATTCTAGCATTTTGTCAACTCCGGAAAGAAAATTGAAGCGAACCAAACAACTTTCGAGTTTGGAAGAAAATATGACGGTGGCTCCAGGGAACCTGATTGCTTTGCTTGCAGTGCAGCAGAATGTGTCGGATTTACAAAAACAATTGAACCTTTATGGGAATATCGATTATGTCGTTGATGGTCTGATCTATCCCCCCTGTGACTTTTGTGGCTCAATGAAAAGGCTAACTTGTCTATGCTACATTCAGAGGGTGCGGAACTGGCAGACGGGTATCAACTCCCAGACTGCTGGTTTGCAGCACGCGGCGTTGCACGCGATAATCTGGAGGCCGCCGTCGCTGTCAAGCTACCCACTGATCCATACATGCACGTCTGGTTCTACAGCTGGAAGAATCTCGACACCAACTCCCAGTGGCCGCAAAAGTTCAACCAGATTGGTTCGCGAGGCCTGACGCTCCTCTTCGACAACGTCGACAAGGAGTTGGCCCGGATCCTGAAGGAGTTTCCAAACACCAAGGTCTTGCAGCAGCCCATCAAGATCCAACGCAAATGGGGAGAGACGACTTCGGCTCTGGTTCACGACCCCGAGGGGACGTTTGTCGAGCTCGTCTCAATCGCCAACAATCCGTTGGTCGCCAAGGCACAGCCGGCTCTGCCTCATCATCGAAGTTTCCTGCATTTCATGATGAACTGCGTCAACTTCCAGGAAACGACCAAGTGGTATCAAGCATTCGGTATGGATCCGATGCACACAAGACGATCACTGCGAGCAGGCGGAGGCTGATGTAGCACAACAGGTATGGATCACGACCACGGCGTCGATTTCAGAAACCTCCACCACGACGATCAATTCAACAGGGGAATCGGAGGGAGAGAGATTTTCATGAATCAGATGAAAACTTTCTCGCACCACGAAAACGTCTGGACCGATTGCCATTTCCTTCGCAGTCCCAGAGATCCCAGTCACATGCACCTGGAACTACTGGAGTATAACGATAGCGGAAGTGAGTCCCAGACCCGTTTCTTCGGCTGCAGAAGCAAATCAGGCATGCAATTGGATCTAATCACAGGGCTGATGACTGGACAGGGGGACTGAAAGACCCAGGGCTCAACCCAACGTGGTTTCAGAAAGGTTAGAGAGTTTCCGTATCATTGGCTTATCAGTCCTGCCTGACGAATCAACCTACAGGAATTGCAAGGTATTGCATGAAAACCCCGAGCTTTGAAGCCGCACAGCGAACAGTCAAGGAAAGAGGATATAAAATCTACATCGAGGAGCAACGAGGTAAGAGGACCTGTGCTGTGGAAGAAGTGCTTTTCGATTCTTGTGCGGTAGACTCACATGAGAACAGGTGCTCTGAACTGGGGTGATTCGCAGTGGTTTTTCTTCGGTGATGTGGACGGTAATTTGCTGACTTTGTGAGTTTACCCAAGGTCGTGAAAGCATCGCTCGAGCTAATGACTGTCGTTGCAGGGAACAATGGCATCACCAGAGATACTGGGGTGAACGTGACTGATACGCTAGAGAAGTCATGGATGTTTCTGCTGGTGAGATGGGAAGTCTCCTACGCACGTACATACTAGAATACTAGATGTTGAAAAGGCCCTAACGTGCCCGTCTTCGCTGCTTTGGGTTTCTAACGCAAGATTGTTTCTCGCTCACCGTAAGAACTGATATTCCGAAGTAAGGTCAGTCCTGTGTCGTCCACCACGACTGCAGAATAAGGTGTCATCTTTACCGGGCCTCTGGCCTATATATTCGAATGACGCAGGAGTGGTCATGTGTTTAAGACATGCGCGAAGATGGATCTCGAGATTTTTATTTAGATCCGATCAGAGAAACATGTGTAAGTCATTACTTTTCTCTGGTGTCTTTGTCCCCCTAAGAAGAGGTACACCATGTCTTCAGCGACTCTCGACATCGTTGCGACGTTTTTGCCCAAGCCAGGGAAGTCCGGGGAGGTAAGATCGCTCCCGCAAATTCTTGTCGGCTGAAGCCACCAGCTTCTCTTGGTTTCATGTCTCTTATGATACTGACTTGATGTTATAAAATGGGCAGTTGATCGACCTCCTCTCGTCAGTTGCCGAAAAGGTCAAGGAGCAGGAGCCCGGCACTCTGATATACTCTATCCTGGAGGCGAAGAGTCTGGACGGCATTGACCAAGTCGTTGTCATCGAAAGGTACCACCCATTGCCAAACCCTTCGTGATATAATATGAGATAACGGGGACAATAGATACACAGGTCAAGACACGTTGGATTTTCATATGGCACAGCCATCCTACAAGGAGGTGGTGGGCAAGTTTGACGGGCTTTGTGAACAGAGACCGACCGCATCGATCGGGACTGTTCGAGGGGGGTTCATGAAGCCAGAAGCGGTATCATAGTGGTGGGGGACGAGCAGAGTATCCTGCCTAGGAATAGCGAGTTGCAGAACATGTATGTCTGGAATCACCGACCTACATAGCTTCTATAAGTTGTACTCACCTGTGATTCTGCTGCCCACTCCTTTGTTCATCCACCTCGCGTTATAATTTAAATAACCACTAAGAAGGCTTGTTGACTGTTTGTCGTTGGTTCCGACACTTGAGTTTCCGAGTGTTTGTGGTCGGCGTCATTAGAAAAGCCACCATGTTGCTTTGATGGCCGCAGCCCTTTGTCTAACAAAGCAGGACTGGATCCAGTCACAGTTACTATACACATGCACTGCGAGCACCATGGAGAGCCGTGACATGATAGTCTATACCTTGAACACTCCGGACTGCAACAAAGTGAGCATAACTCTCGAAGAGCTCGGGTAAGCCTCATGTTCAGCGGTCAGTCAGTGTCCGCAGTGGGCTCAAATAACCACAAACTCCAGATTAAAGTATCAAGTTCGCAAGGTCAATGTGTCCAAAGGCGAGCAGAAGGAGCCTTGGTTCACTGAGATCAACCCAAATGGGCGAATACCCGCACTGGTCGATCAGCTTCCGGACGGCTCCACGATCAAACTGTTTGAGTCGGGGAGTATCATGCAATATCTAACAGACCGCTACGACCAGGAGCACCGGTAAGTTGATCTGTACGGTGGTCGACACATCCCGTATGCCCCAAAGTTGACGAGATGATTCTCTAGCATTTCTTTTCCGCGAGGTACCCCAGAATACTACGAGACTGGCAACTGGCTCTTTTTTCAAAACGCCGGGGTCGGTCCGATACAGGGACAGGCCGTCCACTTTCTTCGCTACAACCCGGTCAAGATGGAATACTCGACGTCACGCTATATCAACGAGACTCGCCGTCTCTATCGTGTGCTCGACAAGCACCTTGCAACGAGAGATTACTTGGTGGGAGGGAAATGCACCATTGCCGACATTGCGCACTGGGGTTGGGTCACAGCGGCCTTTTGGGCCGGCGTCGACCTCGGTCAGTTTCCGAACCTGGCTCGGTGGGAGAAGAGGATGCGGGCTCGACCAGGTGTTCAGAGAGGAAAGGAAATCCCCGACAGGCATTGGATCGACGTGGTTACTGAATCTCCGGAGATGATACAGATGGTAGAGCGAGAAAACGCCAAGTGGATACAGGCAGCACAGGTTCAAAATGCACAATTGTAAACCGACCTCTCGTATTGACTCGGCTAGAGGCTACAAAGTGGGTGCCAGATGTCAGTTAAGGAAGGGTAGAGAAGGACACAAGTAAATGTCGTGTCAGCTGGAAAACTCTTGCTCTGTACCTCGAACGACTGCCAGCCCCAATCGAATAGATGGGCCAGAAAGGAGGAAAAGGGGTAATGAAGACCTTGCAACAACTGGCACCTCGGTGACTGGACTGTCATTGGACTGGAAGTCAAGGGTTTGGAACTCTGGAATTCCTACCCCGGACTTCCGACTGTATCAAACACTAATCCTCTACGGACCGCGATCCCAGATACTCATGGTCGATCCAGTCTTTACCGTCAGAGAAGCAAACGACGACGACGAAAATTGCAGACTGCCGCTTGCATTTTTGTCGTGAGTGATGAATGTAAAAACCTCCAACAATAGACAAAGAGCGTAGATACACAAAGCGTTCATCTGGTCTTCATAGCCTCTGGTCGAAGGGCACTTTCCTAGCACTATTCAACCTCCACCTGATCTTACTCTCTCGACCTGCCTGCCTGTCTGGCCATCTGTTGTTGAGTGAGTGTTCAAGCATCCACTGGAAGAGTCTCCAACCACCCAGGCCCGTGGGGTGGGGTGGGATTGTACGGCTTCGTATTTGGCACACCGTGTTCGAGGAACGACTTGGTGACGGCCTGGTACATCTCCTCGAGGTCGTTTTTGTCGGCGAGGAAGTCGACGCTGTTCTCCTTGCCGGGGCGGACGGTGTTGATCCGGTGTCTCGACCAGCGAGTCGTGTTGTCGTCGATCTTCTCGAGCGTGTAGGTGGCCTCGATGTCCGTGGGCATGGGCGGGCCGTGCCAGTGTACCGACTTGAATCCCCATTTGTGCGGTTTCTCGCACACAGTCACGACCCAGTCGCCCACCAGGTCGAACCGGTCCGGCATGTGCATGTACTCGAGAAAGTGCTCGCCCGGTTGCATGGTGCGAGACACCGATTCGAGGTCGTCTTCGCCGCCGGGCCCGTGAACCTTCCAGGTCCCCAGTTGCAGCTTGATCCAGTTGGTGGGCACCGTGACGAACTCCCACACCTTTTCGATGGGGAGGTTGATCACCTGAGAGGTACGGCTGTGTGTGACGCCCGACATGTTTGACGAGGTGGGAAATGGTTTTTGGGTGTCTGTATGGTGGATATATGCTCACTCTCAGTTCATCCCTTGACCTGGGTTCCCTTGCCCATTTTATGAATGTCAGGAGATCAAATTCATTGATCGTATAGTCGGGATGACGACGTCGTCCCAGAAACCTCATGTCGTTGGTCAAGACGACTCAACGAGTCGTGATATTTCCCATGAACTCGTGGGGAGATACTCCTCCAAACTCCCCCAGAGTAAGTGGATCCTATACGAAGACAAAAGTCCCGAACACTATTGTCAAGAAAGATGGCGCTGCTTACATTCGGCAAGCTTGAACGGCGGTGTCATAATTTAGGAGTCGTTTCACGAGACAGAACAGGACCAATAAATGCGAGCCCTTCCATCGCCCCCACCGACCGAGAGACTGTTCCTCGGAATTGGCAATCGATACGAAAACTTCAACCACGACAAGATAATGAGTGAGCAACATCTCCAAGAGAGAGGAGCAAACGTTCTGGCTAAGTTTACTGCAACTCTGAGGTATACCTATCGTCCCCGGGCAAGACATCAGCTACAAAGCCCCAGGGGATTCCTAACCCGTCTTTGGGGTCGACCACTAGCATTGAATCATCCTTGGCGATGAGCTTCACCCCTTTACTCCGAAGATGCGCCTCGGTGACGGCCAGATCCTTGACTTTCCAGGTCAAGGCGTGATAGACATCCTCGGCCTTGTTTTGTCTTGCTTCGAAGTCTCTCGTCGCATATGAGTCGACACCGGGAATGGGGACGGCGAACTCGTAGACCGCGTCGGCCAGCTGGATGAAGATGCTGTCAGTCCCTCGAAGCGTGCCTTTGGCCTCGTGGATCTGCTTCCCACCCATGAGGTCCACGAACAATCGAATTGCCCGGCTCAGATTCGCCGTCAGGATCGTGTGGTGGGAGCAAAACTGGATTCCCAAGGGCCCCTTTCCGACCTGGGGATTCAGCTTCCACGAAGGGTCCCGGCGGATGTCGTAGGTCCCCATGCTCGAAGCTGGATAGTACTCGTAGCGAAGCCCACTGTCCTCCGCAACCGTGAAGAAAAGCTTTGATGGCTTAAAAACAGCCACGGGACACTCCTTGGGGTCGGCGAGCCGGTTGGCTTGGTCGGTCGAACGCACACCCATCTCGTTCAGCCGCGCGTATATCTCATCGATACCTTCGACACCCCAGCCCAGACCGTTGAGGTGAGGCTCCTCGACATCCTCGTATCTCTGTTCCCCGTCAATCACGTACTTTTTGGGATCTATGCAATCGAAGAAGACATCGGCAATGGACGTGAAAATGCAGTAGTCGGTTGGAAATGTCGGGTATTTGGGGTCTGGCTTCGTAAAGAGCTTGTTCCGCCAGACGCTCTCGATGCCAAATACCTCACGGAAGAACGTGTCGGCCTTCTCCAGACTCGGCACCCGATGGCTAGGGTGATATAGCGTGACTATTTTGTATGTCATGTTTTTTGATCTTATGGAGGGCGTGAAACTCGAATTGAACAGACAAAAGCTTCGATGGTAGAAAGGTAACGATACTGTCTTTTCTTACTGAATGCAGGGGTGGGCAGGCTTTGGACTGTCCGACATTAATAATGTTCTTCACAGATGACCAAAATTATCGGAATTGCTGGTGTTGGACAAAAGGAGACGGTCGTGTTGCGACTCGTTACAAGCGACCCTTTGCTCTCCCGCCCTGCCCAAGCACGGGTTTCCCACACAGATGCAATACTCACCAGCAAATGACATTCATCTACTGGACATACAAAAAGGGCTATTTTACTGGCGTCAGATTCACCATCAACGCGGGCTTCTCCCAGAGCATGTATGTCTTCTGAGTTCTTGCCCAGTTGTCATTGTCAGACTCGGCAGCCAAAGCCAAGTCGAAAGTCCACAGTAGTTTAGACAGAATCACGCGGATCTCAGCGTATGCTAGGCTGGACACTTGTCAGCATGAAACAGTGTACGTAGAAGAGATACTGTGTGATACTGACCTTTTGCCAATGCAGTTGCGAGGGCCGAATGAGAAAGGTTGTGAGACATTCTTCTTATCCCTGGCAAACATCTCCGCGGGCACATCGTCGTTTTCTAACAGGTGAGGAGCCAGCCAGCGCTCAGGTAGGAAATCAAGTGGGCGGTAAAAGTTGTCCGGGTGCCTCGACGCCGCAAAAGGATGGACTCCTACTGTCATGCCCCCGGCAACCCAGTGGCCCTCGATTGCTTCTCCCTTTCCCGGCACCAACCGGGGAAAGGCGTTGGGTGAGGGAGGATAGAGCCTGAATGCTTCCTCGACCACGGCTGGCATGTATTTGAGCTCGTTGGTCGTCACCATGGTGATGTTCTCGTAGCTCGTGAACGTACTTCTGACTTCTCGCACCATTCGCTGGTAGACAGATTGATGGCGGAGGACAAAATACAGAAGCCCCGAGAGGAGCGTGGCGGTGGTCTCGCTGCCCGCGATGATCAGAATGACGGCCGTCTCCTGGATTTCCGGCATGGTCATGCCTGCGGACCCTTGCTTGTTCTCCCGGAGGATGTAGTTCATAAAGTCCTTTCGTTGGATTTGGTCCTTTCGAGCGATCCGCCTGTCGAGCTTCGCGTAGGCTTTGGCGTCGGCTTCCTCTTTGGCCCTCTGCTGTTCCTTGGGCGCAAGGAGCTTAGCGACAGGAAGCAGTCCGTAATAGACAATGGCCTGCATCCAGGGATACACCTTGACCCCCTGAAAGATTTGCTTCACCCACTCATGATACTGAGTCTCCTGGAGACAGCCGAATGGTTCGCCAAAGGCCAGGTCGCCCGTGATGTCGAATGTACACCAATTGAACCAGGACGTCATATCTTGTGGTCCCTCTCTACATTTATCGGTGAGTCGTGAAATCATTTGGTCAATGAACTTCTGGACCAAGTCCTCCTGTTCCCTGATCGCTTTCTCGGAAAATGCATGGGATATCAGCCGTCGCATTCGAGGGTGGTTTCCCGACGACGCAGTCACGATGGACTCGGTATTTTTGAACGTTGGGAGAAGCCCTGGACCTTTGAGATCCTTGGGCATTTCCACTGGTCGATGGCCGTAGCTTGCGCACAGGTTGGTCCGGACGAAATCTCAGATCTTGATGATGATGAAACACTTACATTTGCTTCCACGCGTTGTCGCTGATGTACGACAGCTCATTCGGGGCCGTTCTGACGACAGGACCGTATGTTTGATGGAGATCCGAGATCTTGTTGTGTATCTCGCCGCTTATCGCAGTCCAGATCCAGGGCAGCCTAGACGCAGCCCACAATTTGGGCCCTGGATAATAGCGAAGGGGATGAAAATAGACATTATAGACCGCTTTGCCGACGACAGCGACAAAGATCTGGATTTTTGTTCGTTAGCTGTCACCAATCAATTCTCGATTTTGGGAATGCACATTACTGCGACGACTCCCCACATCAACATTCTCAGAACCGAAGAGACATCCGCCATTTTCAATCGTCCTTCAATGTTAGAACGTGCCGCATGACAGTGCAACAGGCCCCCAAGACAACGTTTAAGAATACACTACAACCAAGGTTTCACATCATACGAGTCGTATAACGCGACCTGACTTGGGTTTGAAGTGCTGGTCGTACTGCCTGACTGTTCACTTCCATATGGGCTGGATACAACAGAAGATACACGGAAAATGAGCTCTTTTTCGAGTTCTATGACTAAACTACGCTTCTAAGTAATTCCTTGACATGGCCTGGAAACACCGTGGAAGAGGTTTCATCTGTTACCTTATTTGTACACTTGGCCTCAAGAGAGCCGAGTCAGATCGAGAACAACACGACCCTGAATCTTGCCAGCATGGAGATCTCCAAAGACCTGTAGTCGAGTCAGCCAAAAGACTCGATGGACAAATCATTCAGTTGCAGTAGACCTCTGTGAGTTTATTCATTGGCTCTACCCGTATGGCCGGGCGAACATGACCATGGGCTGCCGGTTGCAGGCAATCAATTGCCATGATTCTGTTTCCGGTCACGGCGCCTGGGGTGAACGGCTCATCAGTTTTGAAAGCAACAGAAAGAGAGAGGGGACACGATCACGGACCTTTTATTTTCCAGAGATTCCCGATGATCTTGAAGGGGGCAGCATTTGGCATGGGGTGAGGGTCGACTTCCGGGATTCCCACGCAGACCAGCGTTCCAGCGTACCGGAGGAAATCGAGCGCCTGATCGTATGCTCCGGAGCTGGCATTGCAGACCATAACGGCATGACATCCACCATCGGTGACTTCCTTGACTCTGGCAGTAAGGTCTGCCGAGTTGAATTGTGTAAAGTCAAGAAAGACATCTGCCCCGAGGGACTTGCAAAAGTCCGCCTTGGAGCCGTGGTCGACGGCGATGACTCTCAGATTGAACGCCTTTGCATACTGAACTGCGAGGTGGCCGAGGCCCCCTCCGGCCCCGGATACTAGAAGCCAGTCACCCAGCTTACACTCACTGTATAATAGAGCTGACCACACGGTCACTCCACCACAGAGGAGAGGGGCAGCCGCCTCAGAAGAGAGCCCCTCGGGAATGGGAGTGACATATCGGGGATCGCTGATGATATATTGTTGAAATGTACCGGGCGTTTTATACCCTGCGACCTTGCGCTTCTTACAACGATTGTCGAACCCAGCGAGGCACTCGGAGCAGATCAGACAGGCCGACGTGATCCATTTCACTCCAACGCGGTCACCCAACTGGACCTCTGTCACTCCGTCACCCAACTTAACGACGTATCCAACGCCCTCGTGTCCTCCAATCTGAACGGTAAGCACTCGACATCAGCGGAGCTCCTCAGGACTGCCGGTTCGGGCAATACAAACCTGACCGCGCGGTGTCGGCTCCGGCATATGTCCATAAGAATTCATGATGAAGGCAAAGTCCGTGTGGCAGACACCGGAGTAAAGGCTTTGACTTCTATCAGATTACCGCACAACGAGACATCAACTTCCTCTGGGGCTGAGGGCGTAAGAGGCGTACAGTTTGATGAGGATCTCTCCCCGTTGAGGCTCTGGTGTTTCGACATCAATTACTTCAGTGGCCAGAGTACCAGGATTTGAATAGATGACGGCTGAGCGAGTCAGACCCTAGTCGCAAAATGGCTCAACATGGACTCTTTCAATACCTTTGTGCGTCTTTGGAATATCTTCAGTCGTCATGATGCCGGGTTCGAATCGCTCTAGTGATTGAGGTTTTGGCTGCTGAATCCCTTCCACCAACTATTAGGGTCAGAGACTATATGTGTATGCTCTATTTTTCAGGCCTCTGAAGCTTTCAAGTCATTTGGCCACAGCACCATTACGGGTAGTCGGCAAGTCGCGATCTTTCCAGTTCAGGGTGCAAGGACCCACACGCGACCCACACAGACATGGAAGGTTTCCTCATTAGGCATTTACGACAACTGAGATACGACACTTGGACGCCCACGTGACCCCAGAATTCCTGCGGGGTCGACGAGGGAGTCGACCCCAGATTTCAGAGCAGTTTTCCCACCATGTGTGCTCAATCACACTTCCCTTGTCGAGTCTTTTTGTTCTACTAAGAAATCCCGGAAATGGTGGACCGCGATACCTTCATGGACGAGTCAGCTCCTGTCACAGAGGCAGCAACTAACGAACAGGCCTCAGCATCCACCCCCATCACCGGCCAGAAGCGCAAGCCCTATGTGACGAGTGCATGGTGAGTTTAATCTCAACACGCTGCAAATTGTTCACTGACGACGATCCCATCAGCTCTGAATGCAAAAAGCGAAAGGTTAGGGTGGGTAAATCTTTGGCGCGCGGAGCATGGCGCGATTTGCTGACTTGTTTAATTCATTCCCCAGTGCTCGGGAAAGCGACCTTGTAGCCAATGTTCCATCGGGCATTTGACTTGCGAGTATTTGCCTGACTCGAGACGTCGAACGACGACTGTCCAGACGAGCAACAAGCCCGAGGATGTCACAGAGGACCAATTCTCGGCGGCCGGATGCGCCCCCGCGAGCAGCACCACAAAGGAAACGGATGAGGAGAGTTCATGGAAAGCCGATGTGCTCAACAAACTGCAGATGCTGTCCGATGAAATCAGAAGCTTGCGGCAAACCACGGCATCTCAAGACAATGCCCGGTCGAGTTTGAATCTCACCATGACTCCGGACTCGGGCGAGATCTTGAACACGTACAACCCAAGCAGTGTCTCCAAAGCCGTCTTTCCAGGCGGCCCTAGTATCCTCAATCCCCTCAACACCATGAAAGAGCCCGTTGAAAGTGGCGGGAATGAGGATAAATTAGTCCAGGAAGATTGTTGGATGGCTTTCTGCTCCACCATGACTGACTGCTATATTCGAGAACTGCGAATCTGGGATGCCCAAGTCAGGCATTCTGGCCTAGGTCCGGTGAGAGAAACTTTGGACCTGTACTTCTCTCTCATGAATCCCCACTGTAAGTGCTGCAACCTGCCGATGCTACAGGCACAAAGTTGCGAATTCTACTAATACCATGTGAACCAATTGTTTAGACCCTTGTTTGGACTCCAAGGCCTTCGAGCAAGATTTCCAGCGATTCGCCGGCAACGTTCAAGAAGTGACACTGGAGCGTATCCAGTTCATTGCTCTGGTCAATCTGATTCTGGCCGTAGTCAAGAATGTCGACGACTTTTGTCCGGAAGACGACATCATTCCCGGCTGGTACGAGTTTACCAAGGCGGAGCACCTCTTGAACCATGTCATCAAGAGCGGCAAAGGAAACCTCACGACCATACAGTGTCTCATCCTGAAGGCCTCGTACCTCTTATACATTGAGCGAAACGACTGGGCCTACGACGAGATCGGCACGGCGGTCCGACTTTGTTTTCAAACGGGCCTGCACAATCAAAGTTCGTGGACTGGCCTTTCACCATTTGAGGTTCACATGAGACAGCGAATCTTCTGGTGTGTCTACTGCCTCGAGAGGAACATCTCGCACCAGTGTGGCGCACCGTACCAGATGAGCGACCAGGACATTGCGGTGGAGCTGCCCAGCGATTCAACCGTTGAAGGAGTCAGTGTTGGCGCTGGAGAGGGAGGGTTTTCGCCCATCACGTACCAGCTGGCGACCATCAAATGGGCCAAGGTTTGTTCCGATATGTGGGATGCCATGTTCGGGGTCAACTCTCGCTCTCCGACAGCTGAATTGATTGCCGTCACCGACGCGCGCATCCTTTTGTTGATCGAGGAACTCCCAGTCCACCTCCGGTGGTCCTCCGACTTTCTCAAAGTCGCAGTCCAGCTCCAGTATCCTCATTATATTGTTCGTCAGGCAATTGTGCTACACCTGGTGCGTTTTATCTCCGCGTGTTTTTTGACCAAGGGCCACAGATTTTTCTTGGTGGCTGACTTTTAATGTGACAGCGATCTAATCATCTACGGCTATTGTTACGACGCAGTGACCTCCTGGGCTCCAAGAGAAGTGTGCAGGTGGCGGCGCTATGCGTGGACATAGCTCTGGCTTCGGTCGAAGCCATGCATCAGTACCATTTCTCCGAGTTCAGGAGAAACTCTGGACGGTTCCCGACCGTCTCGTTCCTCTCTGGGGTCATCTTCACGCTTACTTCGGTCATTCTGGCCAAGAAGGCAGACCGGCCCACGCTGTCGAAAGCGGGTGGGGGTTTTCTCAAGGCTGTCCAGCTCCTGGAGGACATCGCTCCCGGGTTCACCCTGGGGCGGCGCCTCTTCAAACGCCTGCAGAAAGTCATCAAGGCAACAACACAAACCATGGCGGAGAATGGGAATTCCTCTTCCAACGATGTACCGGCCGATGCTACGGGGCCGGTAATGCCGGATCATCAGTTGGCTTCTTCAACCCCGGCACCAGTCCCGGTGATTCAACCCAGTTTCGACTTTGACCTCGACGATCTACTGCACTTTGACCGGTCATCGTTTGCCGACAATGCAGACAACGAGTTTGTGCAATTTGCTTTCAGCCAGCTCAATTCACCGCTGGCTGCCTTTGGAGGCTCAGCACTGCCGAACGGGAATGCGGTCAAAGACCCCTAAGATATCATTTTTGCTTCTTTAGAAGATTGCAATTATGTTGGGAGGACTTCCCACTCCCCCTCTCACATGTAGCGGAGCCGAGGTGACGAAAAAGCTCCATCGGCCCTGCCGCTTGCATTCCTCGCTCAATGCTTCGAGATCGAACATTTCTCCTTTTGAATCGCGCGTCAGCTTTTGTCCCGGCCTACTGTGTCTTTGATCGATTATGGCCATGCTGTAGTGACTCACCTATAGGCATTCCCCAGCCGGACAACATGATCTCATGCAACGACCAGCCTTGAAGCCCTGCCTCTGGAGGCGAGTTGTAGTTGGGGATCCGCTCCCAGCCCGGAGCATCGCCTGCTCCTGCCACGATGCCGCTGTCCCACAGCCACTTTGCCATCTTGGCCGAAGTTTCAACACCTACCCAGATCGGGGACTTTTGATTGCTCCATGCGATCTTTTCTGCATCCGACAGAGCATTGTATCCCACCCAGAACCCCGAACGGACAAACAGGAGATCACCCTGCCGGATCTCGACCCCTTGTGCGGCTGCACATGCTTGGAGCTCTTCCACGGGGATTGCGTGGTCGGCAGTGTCGCCGATCAAATCATACTGTTTACCCTGAGCCTGAGACCAGGAATAGTAGTCAAGCAAGACTCCACGCCCGGCGATGGCCCCGTTCCTCACCCATGCTGTTGTTTTCACCGTTGTCAGAGACCATGAAATGTGTTGCTGACTGCTTGAGATTCCAGACTCACCATCTGTTCCAAGGACAGTAGGGTGGGCGTTGGGACCGGAAATGTCGTCGACAGATGTTCCATTGTAGAACTTTGCCAATTTGATGTAAGATACGTGCCTGAACCCATCCCACTGGGCACCTATCTGCGACACTCCAGAATTGCGCCAGTCAGTTGAAAGGCTGCCCAGATGCACTAACAGGACATAAAGCCACTCTCACCTGGGTGTTGAACTCTACGATATCATCATGTACCGGTCGTCCTCCGCGACGATAAATTGTCTGCTTGAATTTGGAGCGCTCGGAGCCTGGGACTAGGAGCACATCGATCGGCGGGTCCAGAGATAGACGGACGCCTGTGCGAATCTCGCTTCTGGCAGCGGCCAGAGTATTCTCGGCAGTGAGCAGATTCAAAGCCCCGAGCTGGTCGTCATCCCCGTAGAGGCCCCAGGCTGAAAACGGCGGATCATCTGGACGGAGAGGGAGGCTCTCAAATGGAGGTCTGGGTCTGGGTGCTTGTGACATTTTCGTTGACAGTGATGATGGTGCTTGCGTCGAGCTTTTGATTTTCCAGCGGATGGGTATAGGAAGGCAAAATATGTAGAAGCTCGTTTCAGACTGCGAACAATGTAGATCGGTGCAGCCATTGAAGATGACCTCGGGAGTATGAGACACGGAATGCTCATTATCCCAAGACAAGGACGAGCATGTTTGTCATCGGGTTCCGAGACAACGGGTAGCCGTTATTGGCTTCCCTCACATGAGGCCGAATACTGGCTGGACGAATACCAGATACGAAAAGAAAGGGTCGCGGCGGTCTGCTGATCTGTGGCGCCACAACCGCACAAGTCTTCTTCACTTCATTGTGAGGTCGTCGGGGACGAGTCGTTCTCTACCTACTCATTTGGGAGATATGGAGACGAGTGGAACCGTTCTTCGGTTTGAGACACTCAACACAGGCGCCGATAATCTATAGCAGCCTGGCACCTGGGCACATAAACACCTTTTCTACACACAATGCGCATTTCTACTCTTGTCCGGCACTCGTTTCAATCACTCTACATTTCACTCAAGCGTTCTCTGACAAGGCCGTGTTACCAACATCTCTCCTGGTTCTGGTTTTGAAACAGTGGGCGTCCATTTACACACGCACCATCATCATGCCTGAGAGCACGGTGCCTCCGCGGACATGGAGCAGCATGATCTATGACCATGAGATCGACGAGGCACGGCCGATGAAGGTCATCTGCATAGGAGCTGGGATTTCTGGGATCCTCACCGGAATTCGACTCCCGCAACAGATTGAAAATCTCGAATTGGTCATTTACGACAAGAATGCCGATGTTGGCGGTACATGGTATGAGAATAGGTGAGGGCGAGCTTCCCCCTAAGTCCCATTTTCACAGGATAGATCCGCTGAGATAGCTGGATTGTATTTCTCCAGATATCCAGGAGTCAGATGTGATATCCCGAGTCCTGGGTATCAGCTCACATTTGAATCCAACTCGCAATGGAGCGAGTTCTACGCCAGCGGCGCAGAGATCCAAAATTACATGGTCAATCTAGCCAAAAGATACGATGTCTATCGCTTCTGCAAGTTCAATCACGAACTGGTAGAGGCCAAGTGGCTGGAACTCCCGGGGAAATGGGAGGTGACCTTTCGACAAGTCGATACAGGAAAGGTATGTCTCTCAGAACATCTCTTGCGCGCGTCCACGTCCACGCCGAACTAACCAGAGATTTCTCCCTGACAGATGGTGACCGATCAGTCCGACGTGATCATGCTCGGAATGGGCCTGTTGAACAAATGGGACTGGCCCAAGATACCAGGTCTCGACAAGTTCAAGGGCACCAAAGTCCACACGGCCAAGTGGGATACTTCGCTGGATCTCAAAGGAAAGAATGTCGCCTTGATCGGGGCCGGGTCAACCGGTATTCAAATTCTCCCCGAAATCCAACCCATAGTCAACCGGGTCGATCACTACATGAAAGGAAAGAACTGGATCTCGCCCACGGGTATCGGTGGTGACGAGCTGGCGAGAAGGAAGGCCGAGACTGGAAACTGTGAGTTTGATTTTCTAGCTAGATTTTACCTTTTCTTGTCCTTTTTCTAACAAGGGGTTATCCTGGCAGTCAAGCACAGCAAGGAGGAGCTGGAGCTGTTCAAACTCTCTCCCGAAGAGTATCTCAAGTTCAGGCACAAGATCGAGAACGACATCATGCAAGCGCCCCTGGCGGCCTTTTACGGGACACCCGAACAACGGAAGTTCCACGAGATGAGCATCAAGCACATGCGCGAAAAGCTGGCGTCACGACCCGACATCCTAGAAGCTCTGATGCCCGACTGGGCACCTGGGTGCAGGAGGCTGACTCCCGGCCCGGGATATCTCGAGGCAATCTGCCAGCCTAATGTGGACTATGTGAGCACGCCGATCAAACAGATCCACGAAAACGGCATCGAGACTATCGACGGACGCACTCGAGAGGTCGAGATCATTATTTGTGCAACAGGCTTTGATGTGTAAGTGTGCTGTTTTCCCCCGTCTCTCTCTCTCTCTTCTATTGCTGATACAGATGCAGGTCCCGTCAATCAGGACCAAAGTTCTTCGGCCAGGGTGGATGCGATCTTTACGATGTCTGGAACCCCATCCCCGAGGCTTACATGTCAATGTGCCCTCCCAAAATGCCCAACATGTTCATCTACTTTGGGCCAAACGGTGGTCCCATGACCGGCAGCACCATGCTCATGCTGGAATGGGTCTGTGATTACGCCACGGCCGCAATCCAGAAACTCCAAAGGGAATACTACAAGTCCATGGTTGTAAAGTACGTACTGCCAATTGGTTCTCTTTTTTCTCAATTCCCTCAGCTTGTGGGAGTTGGTTGCATGAACTAGCTGACTTTTTCGCGATAGGCCATCAGCGAACAAGGCATTCAGCCGCCATGTCGACAAGTTCTTTGCAAAGACGGTCTTTACTCAGCCTGTAAGCAGTGTTCTCCTTACACCCGTGTCAGGGCCTTGCCGGTGGCAGACCTAACAACATGGTAAACAGTGCAATTCGTGGTTCAAACGAGGAACCGTCGACGGACGAGTCGTAGGTGAGTCTTACCGCCACAACCACCCACACCTCGGTTCTTTTTTTTTTCTCTCTTGTTCCCACACTTTCAGACCACTTTATGTACTGACCCGGGGCCTGAAACAGCAAACTGGCCGGGTTCGGGCGTCCACTCGCGCAAAACCCTACTCAATCCGAGGTGGGAAGATTTCGACTACGAGGTGATGCCCGAGATCGAGGAGAACGTTCTGGGCTGGATGGGCAACGGCATGACGGTGGCTCAGAAGAACAAGACCTGCGCCACGGACTACCTCGAGCTGAAACAGACGGTCAATCGTCCCAAGCCGGTGCATCCAGAGTACAGCGTGCTGTCACCTCCGTCCTTTCACCAGGGCCAGAACGGTACTGCCGAACAGAACCGCACGGCCAATTAGAACGGGAGAAAGACGATCAATTTTGTATGGTATAAGAGCTAGGCAGATGCTCTAGCTGCGTCAACAAAGCTCCAGCCAGCCGCATAGATTGATGGGCATTATTCCTCGTGGATAGTCCTCTGTACCAAAGGTATACCTGTACCTGTCTCGTCATGATCCCCGCCCAACTTTGGATACTGTTCAAATAAAGAAGATTTTCAGAGAGTTACAGTACTATTCGTAGCTCGGGTTCAACTCCACGATATAGCCAGCTTCAAGCACTGGGCCAAGCTGGAAACCACAGACTTGAAGAGCCGAAGAGAGAATCGTCCTCGGTCGCCGACCAAGAGCTCATCGCTCCCCACTCTGACAGCGACGGGTCAAGTCGATACGTCCGATCGGCGGGCGAAGCCGAGACAAATAGATCCCACGCCATGTTGTCGTGCTGGGTTCCTTTGGTAGACGCGACTGAATCCGAGGTTGAGGACCTGCCCAACTCAGATATCGCCGGAAGGGGTGCCGTTGTCGCAATGGATGGTGTAGAGTCGACTTCGGAAGCAATCGTCTCGGCCTGGCTTACGGGTTGCTGTTGGACCCCAGGGGGCCCTGGTGGGAGCGGCGGCTGCATTTCGGCAAATGAAAAGGCTCTGTCAAATGAGTCGTCTAGATACGTTGTGTTCTGGGAGCAGTCGACAGCAGCTTCCTGGGCGCCTGCGGCACCAACACTGCATATTACAGCCTCGACGGATGACGTTACAGAGAAGGCCGTCGGGGTGCTTGCTCGGATCGACAGTTGTGCAGTGTTCACCAGTGGTAAGGTGCCCACCGCCATGCGTGTGTCAGTACAGGAGTTGCGAATCCCAAGGGGATCCTCTGTTGCTGAATTCGGACGGATCAGCTCGGCGAGCTCCGGGAAGTCGACGGCGAATTCATCTCCCATTCTCAGGCAGTTGATATCATGGAGCCACCGTTCTGTGGACGGCATCAACCTGATGTCGCAACCGTTGGAGTCGACTTGTAGCACTTCTTGTAGCTTGGCGTCTGTTGGAATCTGAACGTCGAAATGTTCGACGAAGGAGCTGTATAGATTCCGGCTCTGGTAGCTTTGCCAGTCTCGCATTAGATGGGTTCTGATCCCGGGCCTATGAGTTGGAAATAAATACGTGAGCTGATGAATATGGAGAAGCTGTTGAGAGAGGCTAGGAGTGTCTTACCAAGGTACAAAGTCGATAAAGGATGGGTGTGGGCACCACATTTGAGGTGACAAAGGCCGGTACCATGCCGGGCATTGGGCCAAGTTTCTATGGGTAGGAAATACCAACAGCTGAAAAGTAGAAGTTGACTCAGTCTCTCACACTGGCTTGAGCAGCGGCGGCAAGGGGCCCGACTCACCGTCAAAATCCGATACAGCACCCAAAACATTACTATTCTTCCCAGCCTCGACTTGTATGTCCAGCACCTGATAGCTTCATAGGCAGCAATAGCGAGTTCTCTCCTCATGGTAGTCAGACTATCGTCGTCGTCGCTGTCAGGGTTCTTGGTTGGAACCATGCTTTCGAGGACCGGGTTCGAGGATGGCGCAGACGACTCAAGATCCTGGACCAGCAGATAGAGTATGTTTGGAGTTCGGGCAAGGCTCCGCAGTCGCTGTTGGGACATCAGACCTGGGGGGCGACCAATGTGGAAAAGGGCATTTGCGACGCTAAAGACGCCGCCACCAGAATGGCCGGTGTTGGATCTCCAAATCATTATTGCTTCGAGAAAGTCATCATCCAACAAGTTTGATCTGGAACCGAGTCGCCCTAAAGCGGCCCAGATACCAGGAAATGGCGAGGGTGAGTCTGGAACGGCCATGCGTGAATCCAGCTCGGTGGTCAGATCGAAAGAAGCATCGCACTGCGACCGCCCTTCCTCAATTGAATCCACTTGTAGCGTCTGACCTTCTGCGCAGAACGGGACGGAACCGCCTGAGTCAATGACTGCATGTTGGATCCCATTCCCCGGCTGCTCAACGGTTGGCGCCTCTCGAGAGGCGACTCCCTCGGTTGTGCTCCCGTGGGAGGACTGTTGAAGCAAGGACGACGATTCTTCCCGGCTGAGTCCCAGCGCCGAGCAAACAGATTGCAATTTACTACGGAGGGTCTCCTTTTCGGCCTCGAGGCTCCTGTTCTCCTTGAGCAGCTCTGCCACAATCTTGTCAGACTGCTGGGTGCTGAGCAGGTCCAGTCGCTCCTGCAAGGCGGCGATGGTCTGGCGGGCTTTGCTCCGATTCTCCCGCACCAGTTGTCGGTCTGCAGCCCTCTTTCGACTCAGTTGTTGGGCCGTCAACTTGTCCTTCCATCCTGATTTCGATCCAGACTCACCATCCTTGGCATGCGGCGAGGGAGTCGTGCGAGGTCGAGCCATGAGGACTCTCCCTCCAGGCTTACATTCGAGTTGCTGAGTCCAGCAAGATGGGTTCAAGTCGTCTATGCAAAAGGCAGGAACCTGAAAATGTATGGGAAGAAGCGCAAGAACACAAACCTCTCATGTAGTAGTGGTGGCAAATTGCGGTTTGTGTGGGATGGTCACAAGCGGGAAGCTGGAACTCTGGGGAAGCTCCCTGCGGAGAAGGATAGACAGAAGAATAGACCCGGAATAATTGGGCCGGGCGTGGTCGACGTCGTCCACGCCGCTATTGGTGGAGAAGAGGTTTGGTATATCCACTATAGCATTTGTCTCCACATAATATAGGCCCTCCACCAGCCGTGCCATGGTCACCTAAGACACTCTCTTTTTCACTCTGTTGGCTCAATATTTCCATTTCCAAGCAAACGCCTGCCAAGGCATGGTGGGGGATGGTTTTTGGCCGGACAGACTGGCCGAGGTTAGCGGAAAGGGTGGGGAGACAATGCCAGAATTCCAGAATTTCAGGGGAATTCCGCCGGAATCGTACGTTCACATTTCCAGGTCTAGATGCGGCTCTCAGTTCGCAGGCCAATTTGACCTGGCTTCGCAGATGTGGTACTCGCTCCAGTTCCGGACAGCTATCTGGAGGAGGAGGTCAATTTACCCCTTAATCCTTCAAGATTCCATTACGGACGGCATGTGCTTTGGGTTGGCGCATGTTGCCAGGACATGACCTTTGTGGGCGATTCCACCTCGCCGCACGGAACCGGAAAGGACTGAGGGAGAAGGAGTAGATGGAATATGATGTGCAAATACCGGCAATGGCCAAAGGCTGTTGCAAGAAGGCCTTTTCGAACATCGGACCTGGCTTCTCAACTGGGTGCTCCTAATACTTACCGCTTGATTCCTCGGCCTGTCTCTACCATCCTTGTCCTTTGCCATTTTTCCTTAGGGTTAGTTGTCTTTGCTCACGGCCTGTTGTATTGAGAGTTGTATCTGGAGTCAGAACGAACGCTAGGATGCCAGGAGTTTACCGTCACGTCAATGGAGAAGCCAACGGCCACTGCAACGGCGTGGGTTCAGATGGCGATTTGAATGGCCACACATATCCATCTAGGCCCGTCGTCATTGCCGGATGCTCAGGCGGTATGTTTACGGACGAATCTACGATGAATGTTTGTTGACATCCCATTTTCTAAGGAACGGTCGACCGAGCTCGTGCTCTCTTGGACCTTTCTCAGATCCCTGAGATTGACGTTATCACGGGGGATTGGATGTCCGAGGCTGATATGACGGTCAATGGACTGAAGAGATGGCAGCTCAAGAAGACGCTCCAGAATGTGAACGCCCTCGGACAGTCTCGCGAGGGCTATCATTCCAACTTTCTCACCAAGATTGAGCCAGCCTTGAAGTATCTGGCGCAAAACGGGACCAAGGTCGTCTGTAACGCGGGCGGCAGCAACCCTCACGGCCTGGCCGAAGCATTAAAGGAGAGGATACAGCACCACGGCTTAGATCTGAAGGTTGGCTGGATCGAGGGTGACGATGTGAGCGAGGCTGTTCTCGATTTGGTTCACTCGAAAACGGCCAAGTTGACCAACATTACCACGGGCAGAGACATTGAGGAGTGGATGTTTGACCCCATTAGCGCTCAGTGCTATCTGGGAGCGTTTGGAGTGGCCCGTGCCCTGAAGGACTGTGACATTGTCATCTGTGGAAGAGTGGCCGACTCCTCTCCCTGCATCGGAGCAGCCATGTGGTGGCACAACTGGACCCGGGACAATATCCAAGAGCTTGCCTCGAGTCTTGTTGCAGGCCACTTGATTGAGTGCAGTACCTATGTCACTGGTGGCTGCTATTCGGGCTTCAAAAAATGGAAGGGCACCGCTGTCGACCTGGGGTTTCCGATTGCTCACATCGATCACAAAGGTGGCATCGAAATAACAATGGAACCTGGGAGAGACGGAGAAGTGTCGATCGACACGGTCAGCTCCCAACTCTTGTACGAGATTCAAGGTCCTCTGTACTATAACTCGTCGGTGGTCGCCAACCTGGAGAACATGCAATTGGAGCAGGTTGGTCCAAACAGAGTGCGTGTCACCGGGATTGAAGGGTTACCGCCGCCACCGACAACCAAAGCAGGCATCACAGCGTTTGGCGGGTACCGAGCCGAATACCATGTATACCTGACCGGCCTCGATATCGCTGAAAAAGCCGAGATGGTGAAGCAGCAAACCCTAGCAGCAATGGGACCCGCCGTGCAGAAGCAATTCTCTCTCCTGAAATTCCAGGTCATCGGCGAGCCAAACCCCAACGCTCGAACACAAGATGCCGCCACAGTCGACATGCGTATATTCGCCCAGAGTCAGGATGAAAGCCTGCTTGGTCCGGACAAGTTTTTGACCTGGTGTAAAATGAACATCCTCCAAGGATGTCCGGGTTTGACACCAACAAACGATCCTCGGCAAGGCACAGCCAAGCCGTACTACGAATATTGGGTCACTCTTATCGACCAAGCACTGGTCAAAGAAATGGTCCATTTACCAGACGGCACCGTTGTTGACATTCCAGCTCCAGATTTCACTCGATCATACCCTGTACAGCAAAAGTCTTATGATACAGCAGATCCCTTACCAGCTGACCACTGGGGTCCGACTCTCCGGGCGCCTCTCGGACGCGTCGTTCTCGGACGTTCAGGAGACAAGTCATCCGACGCCAACTTGGGTCTCTTTGTTCGGCACCAAGACGAATGGGACTGGCTTCGGTCGACATTCTCAGTCGCAAAGCTGGTGGAGCTCCTCGCCGACGACTACAAAGGCAAGCCAATTGATAGGTTCGAGATCGCCGGCCTGAAGGCTGTTCACTTTCTGCTACGGGATCATTTGGATCGGGGTTACAATGCTGGAGCTGGACTGGATTGCCTCGGAAAAAACCTGGTGGAGTACATTCGCGCCAAACAAATAGACATACCCGCTGCTTTCCTGGAGCGGGCAGATATATAGTACACATGGATAGACGCATTGCTTGTTCGCTGTTAAATAGCCTTGTAGATCTCCAAACCACCTTTTCAGACCATAGATGAATGATATCCCCTCAGAAAAAAGCATCCGAGAAACGTGCACGCGTACAACTCTACTGCCCCCTATTGAGATCAGAATCATATCATGATTCGAACTTGTAAAACAGTAACTTCAAGACACTTGATATCACGAGATTTTACAAAGGCGGCCATCCAGAGGATTATCTCGTGATCTCGATATGAATGCAAAGTTTGTCGTTTGTCGTTCTCTACGATCGGTGAGTTATACAGCGGTCTTGTCGGCTGACGGATCAAATATCAGGGGCCTCTCACCTTCTGCAATTCTCTAGACTGGAAACCTCTGATAAACTCGATCTATCTGTCTCAAGATTATGCCCTCAGTATGAAATCAACTCTTGACAACACCTCAAAGACGCTCGACGCAGACAAAACCATGGCGAACGGCGAACCCAATGGAGTTCATTCAGAGCCCAATGGGGTCGTAAATGGCGAAGTCCAGCATTGCGACATCGTGATCGTGGGTGCCGGTTTCAGTGGCATGTACGGACTTCATCGGCTGCGCAAACTGGGCTACAAGGTCAAGGCGTTCGAAATGGGAGGCGACTTTGGCGGCGTGTGGTACTGGAATCGCTATCCAGGAGCCCGTGTTGATTCGGAATGGCCATACTACCAACTCAGTCTTCCCGAAGTCTGGAAGGATTGGAATTTCACCGAACGCTTTCCCAGCCACACTGAGATCCGCAACTATTTCGCCCACGTCGACAAGGTGCTGGATATCCGCAAGGACGTGGTGTTCAACGCGAGGGTGAACTCTTGTACCTGGGACGACAAGGAGCGTCGGTGGACTGTCAAAACCGAGGCCGGCCACACGACTGTGTGCAAATACCTCTTCCTCTGTACAGGGCTCCTCCATCGCCGACACTATCCCGAGTTTCCAGGTTTCGACCAATACAAGGGAGAAGTGCACCATTCCGGATTCTGGCCAGAGGACCTAGACGTGACTGGGAAGAGGGTAGTCGTGGTCGGTGCCGGGGCGACGAGCATCCAGATTGTGCAAGAGTTGACCAAGAAAGCAAGTCATCTATCGATGTTGATGCGGCGTCCCAGCCTGTGCCTGCCCATCCGGAACCGCCCTATCAGCGAGGCAGAGCAGGACGGCATGAAGCCTTACTACGACGTGCTCTTCAAGGCCGGCCGGAAATCTGCGGGCGGCTTACCCAGGGGGCCTCCCGATGCCTCAATCTTCGATGTCTCGGACGCCGAACGAGAGCAATACTACGAAGAGCTCTGGAAGTGTGGGTCCTTTTCCTTTGGAGCTTCCAATTACAAAGAGATATATTTCGACCAGAAAGCAAATCGCATTGCGTACGACTTTTGGGCCAAAAAAACACGGGCTCGCATGTCGAACCCGGTAAAGAGGGACTTGATGGCCCCTCTGGAGCCTCCCTATCCCATTCTGACCAAGCGATGCCCCTTGGAGATCGACTATTACGAAATGCTGGATCAGGACCATGTCGACATTGTGGATCTAAACACCAATCCTATCAAAACGTTTACTCCTACAGGAATTGCTTTTGCCGATGGGACTAAGAAAGATTTTGACATCGTCATCCTGGCCACGGGCTTTGAGAGCTTCACTGGCTCGTAAGTTCTCTTCTTCGGTGAGGCATGCTCTTCTTTCAGCTGACTGGATCCTAGTGTTTCAAACATGGGCTTGTGTGACAAACACGGGGTGGATATTAAAAACATATGGTCCAAGGATGGAATCAATACGTATCTAGGCATGATGGTCCGTGGTTTCCCCAACTGCTTTATGGTCTACAGTCCACAAGGTAAGTGCGACACTCAGTTCCTCCTCAATTCCGGTACTCTGTCCTGATCCTCGGATGCTTACAGCCCCGACTGCGCTTTCCAATGGGCCGACAATCCTAGAATGCCAGGTGGACTGGGTGGTCGATGCCATTGACAAACTAGAGAAGGAAGGTATCGAAACGATAGAGCCGACGCAGGAAGCACAGGATGCGTGGGGACAAATGATTCACGACATGAGCATGAAGACATTGTTCCCCTTGACGAATTCCTGGTGGACAGGTGGCAACAGTAAGTTTTGGGACTTTCTCGTCCATCCCTTTGACGCCAGTCCTAACTTTTTTTTCACTTAGTCCCTGGGAAAAAGATCCAAATGCTCACCTACACGAATGGCATTGCTCAGTACGAACCACAATGTCGGGAGACGTTCGATGGTTGGAAAGGATTTGAAATCGTCAAGGCATAAATGATATTCAGACTATACGACCCAGGATAGCATAGAAAATATTACATGCCGCTTCCAAGCGAGATGATAGGATTTACAGTTGTATCTACAAGCAGTTGATATGCACCTCCATCTAGACAGCTCCAAAGCATAGAAGCCATACGCCACTTCAATACACCAACCGTGCAGTACATGGGGAAACTCTGTGCTTCTGTCGTTCCATGAGCAGACCCCGTGGCACAACAGACGTGGTCTGACATTCTGAACGGATCACACCGTGTCGTTTCGATGGAAGTCTCCCATTTTGCCCGGTCGTATGCCATCGTCCCCCACGGGATAGGCATGTCGTTTCGGTCGAGTCGTTCGTTTTGACGGTCGCCAACTATTGAACGGCGTCACTTCATGTCTCTAACCAGTATTAATGGGAGAAAGGGTCTGAGGCTGACCTGCTTTTGTTCAATCCAAGTGTCGTCAAAGCGGGGTCTCGCATTTTCAAACAATGGCCGTCATGTCTGCATTCTCGCAAACCATAGCGCTCTCGCGTCAAGTGCCGCTCTATCTATTCGGCTTCATCATTGCCATCATCATATACAGTCTATCTCGTATTCTCCGTCGTTCTGCACAACGCGTACCAGACGCACCATGGCTGCGAATATCAAATCTACCTGGGAAGGCGGGCGAACTAGAGGATGCCCGGCTTTATGTCAAGAACGGGCACGAGGTCATCTGCCTGGGATACGAGAAGGTGAGATTCAGACCGAACTCGACAGCGATCATGGGGCAAAGCTGATCCACGGCATCACTTTTAGTACACCAAGAAAGGCCAGAATTGGCTCATGAGAACCCCCGAGGGATTTCAGTTTGTCTACCATCCGAGATACATCGAGGAGGTTCGCTCAGCCAAAGACACGGAGCTGTGGAACTTGCCAGCCAACAACGAATTGGTGCAAACGCGTTATACAATGCACAAGAACTTGGAATACGATCAATATCACTTCAACGTCGTCAGCAAACAATTGACTCAGAGCCTGGGTACGTTGCTCCGACTCATCTCTTCAAGATGGACTAACCCCAAGTGACACAGGGCCTGGGCTTCCTGCCATCGTCGACGAATGTTTCGGGGCATTCCACGACTTGATAGGGGAACCAAAGGGTATTTTGTTCCCCCATATTCTGTGCCATCGAATAGGATACAGGCCTAACCTTTTTGAACAGAATGGAAATCAATGGTCATGTTCCCCGTCTCTTTCAACATCGTGACTCGAACGGCAAACCGCCTTTTGTTCGGCGCAGATCTCGCCAGGAACAAGGAGTTTTTGAAACTCGCCATCGAATACAGCGACACGTTCTTTGCTGGTGCCAACATGATCCGCCATTATCCGCCGTGGACGAAACGCCTGGCCTTATACCTCAAGACGGGCATGTACTCGCAACAGACGCAGGCGAGGAAACATCTCTATCCTCTGCTACGGTCTCGTATCGCAGCAATGGAGAAGGCAAAAAGAGAAGGCACGTATGAAGAGTTTGAACGGACAAAGCCAGCCGATACTGGTGAGTTTTTATTATGCCACCTGAATGTCGAGGGCGGACAAGTATATTGACGATTCGAACAGTCCAGTGGGTTCTCGACATCACGCCTCCGGAAAGGCTGCACGACCTCAACGATATCATGATGAGACTCGTTCACATCCTCACCGCGGCGGTGCATACCAGCAGTGTCACCTACCTCAATGCACTCTACGACCTCGCCCAGCATCCCGAGGTTCACGACGAACTCCGTGAAGAGATCAACAATGTGTTCGCCTCCGAGGATGGCGTGTGGAAGAAGCAGGGTCTGACCAAAGCAATGAAACTGGACAGCTTCATCAAGGAGAGTGCAAGGTTTCATCCCTTCCAAGCGGGTACGATTGCCGGTGTAACTCCAGGGGTGATAGTAGTATCGAAACTAATCTCCAATACAGGCACGATGGATCGAATCGCAATGAAGGACTATACACTCAGCGACGGCACCGTCGTCCCTAAAGGAACATACATGATTACTCCGTCGTCGGCGGCCAACGTCGATACGGAAATCTGGGGTCCTGACGCCCTGGAATTCGATCCGTGGAGATTCCAGAAGAGGCGGCTCGAGAAAGGCCAGGAGACGCTGCACTCCATGGTCCAAACGACACCTCAATTTACCTATTTCGGGTATGACATACATACAATTGGACATTGTGTAAAGAACTTAGTTCTTAGCTGACATTTTGCGACACAGTCACGGCAGACACGCGTGTCCAGGTCGATTTTTCGCCGTCAACGAGATCAAGGTGCTACTGATTTACACCCTGACGCACTACGACATCAAGTTTCCGGACAATAGTCCAAAGCCAGAGCTGATGTGGTTCTCTGGCAAGTCTATGCCCGATATGACAGCCGAGATTATGTGGAAGTGGAGAGAGAACGTCTCTGTTCCTTGGAATGATGTTGCTGGAGCATGAATTGTTGCCATCGCGGGATTGTGATGGAATTGAGAAACCTAAAAGACTTTTACTCGTCGAATAATTGTATATTTTCTTGATGGTAAACTTGTAGACCCTTCCGAGAACGAAGATTTCTTTTTTTTTTTTTTTTCCCTGGTTCGAGCCTTACAGAGTCTCTGACATAGCCTTCTGTAGATTTACTAGCACGAACACGAAGTTAAACAGAGAGCTGGTAAACTGAAATCAATAATTTCTTGGTCCACAAGCACGAGTTCCAGACCAGTCGTTACCTACGACATGGGGGAGGCTGTGGTGCATCTTGGAATTTATACACCTGTTCAAATGCGACTAGAGGAGTTTCAAGTTTCTCAACCTCTCCGATCAACCCGACAAAATCTAGAACAATTGAAAATGCTCAATGTTGTGCTCGCAGGGGGACGAGGAGGCAAGTCGTCCCTGTCAATTTCTGAAGCTATTGCTCACATACATGTCCTACTAACAGATATGTTCAGGTGTGGGAAAGGAAATATCAGACGCTCTGCTGGAGAGAGGAAACGCCAGGGTCACCGTCTTCACGAGGAAATCGGCTCACAAAACAGGTGGCCGGGCATCCGAGAATGATGATGATGACCAAGGCAATGGCCCCAATTATAGGGTCGTAGAGGTGGACTACCTCGACACGGACGAATTGGTGCTCAACCTGAAAGGCGTCGACGTTGTCTTGAGCTTTGTGCTCGACTATGAGAACCGAGTGCAAAAGGCTCTTATCAACGCATGCGTGTTGGCCAAGGTCAAGAGATTTGCGCCCAGCGAGTGGGTCTGGTAAAGGTTCCTTCCTGAGAATGTATCGCGTACACAGAGCATTCTTTGGCTAAGAAGACGTCTACAGGGGAAACTACTCTGGCATCGAGCTATTCAAGTACAAGGACGAGATACGACAATACCTGGAGCACCTCAACGCTCAGGAAATCGTGCTCGAGTACTGTCTCTTCCAGCCCGGCATGTTCATGAACTACCTGAGCTTCCCCAAGCCGTCGGCGAAGCACCTGCACCCCTCACCGATTCCCGTCGACATTCAAAACTGCAAGGCTCTAGCGCTGGAGGACGAAGAGCCACATGTTGTCTTCACCACCGTCCAGGATCTGGCCAGAGTGGTCGCTCTCGCCGTCGAATATGAACAGCGCTGGCCGCCGGTTGGCCATATCCAGGGCTCGAGGACCACCATCCGAGATCTCGTCAAATTGGGAGAGAAAATCCGAGGTACGCAAAGAGGCCGTTTGCGCGCTCTGCTCTGCTCTGCTCTCTGCTCTGCAGAGAGACGTACTGACAACGACGCTAGGAAAACCCTTCCAAACATACTCAATTCCTCGGGAGGACGTCGAGCTCGGCAAGCTGGAAAGTCCCTGGATCCCTCGCATCATTCATTCCTCGATACCGCCGGAAAAGGTCGAAGAAATGAGCAGACAATTAGCCACTAATTGGCTTTTAGCTGCCTCTCGAGGCTGTGTCGACATGTCGCCAACCTGGAACCGTCTCCTACCAGAGTTCAAACCAACTACGGTCGAGGAGTTTCTCAGAGAGCATTTTTCGGCTGATTGAAAAGAGGGAAACGCGAGTTGGACAAAGGTTGCACCGTTCTACATGTTTAGGCACTTCAACTTTACATTGCTATGTACATTGTTTTCAGCTGTGTCCAGTCGTCCACGGCGGTTTTTCCAAGCTCCCTCCCTTCTCCGCTTTGCTTCACTCCGCCGAAAGGCATGTCGTGGGTCATCATAGGGCTGGTACAGTTGATCCCGACGGTTCCAGACTCAAATGCCCTCCCAACCCTCAACGCGCGCGATATGTCCTTTGTATAGACGCTCGCATAAAGGCCGAACTCGCTATCGTTGGCTCGTCTGATGACGTCTTCTTCGGTTTCAAAGCTCTTCACGCAGGCGACCGGCCCAAATATCTCTTCTCTCATCACCCGGCTTTGTTCGTCGGGTTCGTATATGATGGTCGGCTCAACGAAAAACCCTCGTTGACCTTCCCTTTTGCCTCCGGCTATGATTCCATACCCTGACTGCTCGGCTTCTTTGATGTAGGACAAGATTGACTCGAACTGAGACCGAGTAGCTTGTGGACCTCTCCGTGTTCCCGAGACTCTAGGATCGTTGCCCGAGGATGGATTCGCTCCGAGGTCTTTTAACGATTGAACAAATTTCTGACAGAAAGCTTCAATTACTGTCTTTGCAACGTAGACACGAGTACTGGCTATACAGGCCTGTCCCGAGTTGAGGAGAATCGACTTGGCCGCCGCTTCGGCGGCTTTATCCAAGTCAGCGTCCTCAAAAATGACCAGGGGGCTCTTCCCTCCCAGTTCTAGGGTGACCTTTTTGAGATTGGATTTGGCGGCCGCTTCCTTGATCGCCTTTCCTGTTCGGACGGAGCCTGTAAAAGAGATTTTGCGGATCTTCATGTGCGACGCCAATGCGGCTCCACAAGGTGTGCCAAAGCCACTCAGAACGTTGAGAACTCCGGGAGGGAACCCTGCAGCCCGTGCAAGACTGGCGACGTAGAGGCTCGTGAGTGGCGCCTTTTCGGATGACTTGACCACCAAGGTATTGCCGGCAATTAGTGCAGGTGCCATTTTGAACATCAGCATCGTCACTGGAGCATTCCACGGGGTGATGGCAGCGCAAACGCCATATGGTTCTCTGAGAGTTAGGTTCAGAAATCCAGGGGTCTGGGTCGACGACGTCCCCTGAACATCCGTGGCTTTGCCAGCCATGTATCTCAAGAACCTCGCTGAGGCGAGACCCTCGGCTTTATTCCCATATTCAGCACTAGAAATGCGGGCGGCTACGCAGCAGAAGAGGGTTTACTTACTATAAGTCCCCACTGGTCGGCCCATGCTCGATGCTTCGATGAGAGCGAGCTTGGAATTGCTCTGTTCCACCAGGTCCGCGAGCTTGTAGAAATACGCCGCGCGTTGAAAGCCGCCCAGTGCCGACCATGCTGGGAATGCCACCTCAGCTGCACTCACGGCGAGGTCCACGTCCGCCGCCGACGCCTCGGAGACATGTTGGAAGACCTCCTCGGTCGCTGGGTTGATGACGGGGAAAGTTTTGCCGTCCTTTGCCTCGACAAACTCGTTATTGATGAAGAGGCGGGTTTCGACGTCCCCCACGCTGGGAACCTCTGGATCAGATACCATGATGTGCGTGGCGGTCCTGGGTTAGTTGTGACGAGAGTCAGAATATGACGCTGAGCAGTGACTGTGCGGGCTGTGAGCAAGTCATTCTTTCTTGAACCTAGCATCATCTGAATTTTTCAGTTTCTCTTTAGGCTACATAAAACCTGTACTGCAACATCCAGGTTGGCAGGTGAAAATGGTGTCGTTCTTCGCGACATCGTTGACCCCACAGTCTCCAGCTTTGGCCAGGATTCGACTCCTTGACTCGCTTATCTAATCAAGGCCCAGCTCGCGTACCTCCCTAGTGACTAGCTTTATGTGGAAGGTAACATTGGCCACTATACCCAGAAGGTTATACGAGAGAGCTATGCGATCACGTGGGTGGTGGATTCTTCTGAGCCACGTGTGAGCGTAATCTATGAGTAGCTTAGCCAACGTAGTAGGCCCCAGCCTACTTCTGGCTAGGCTACTTCAATGGAGGAGTTGAATCACGACTCGAATCCCATCTCTAAGAACCCATCGAGTCGGGGTTGGATTTGGAGTGAGGCTCGTGCTGGTCCTCTTGTCTATAGCTGCCGTCGATGCTTGACGAGGGTACCATCGCCGACGCTCCTCCTCGTAGCCATTCGGGGCCCTTAATGATGCTCAACAACTAACGTGTCCAAGATACGAGTCGTTGGTCACGATATCCCCCGCAAAAGCCACCCCCAGAATACTCCTAAAAAATTTAATTTACACACACCGTCAAACTCATGAATCCAAGGCAATCAAAGTACTAGAATCATTACCCTCTCCTAAGTATTGCAGCAAAGATGTCTCGAGACAATCCAGAAGCGGCCAAGAGGATGTTCGACCAGCCCCGGCCACATAGCTTGCTGGGATACCACCGACAGTTGGCACCTGCTGCCAGTCTCAAAGTCAGCCCTTTATGTCTAGGTGCGAGCTCAATCCAACAAAGTAGAGAAGACGGGTATTCTGAGATTCCTCCACAGGCGCAATGAACCTTGGCGAGGCCTGGAAAGTATATAGAAAACTGCAACCTCAGTCGAGATAGAGCGAAGCTGATAAATTCCCCAAAGTACTTTATGGGTGCGGTCGACAAGACAGTGGCATTTGAAATCCTCGACTGTTTTTACGAGCGGTATGTTTTCTACCAAAATGGCCGTGGCCCTTTCATGACGCTCACCTACTTGCCTGACGCAGTGGGGGAAATTTTATCGACACGGCCAGCGACTACCAGGACGGTGAGTCGGAGGCCTTCATTGGAGAATGGATGGCTGCCCGGGGCAATCGAGACGAGATGGTCATCTCCACCAAGTACGGCACCGGTTGGAAGAAACACCTCAAGGGGGACGTGATCCAGACCAATTTCGGGGGACTCAACGCCAAGAATCTCCGCCATTCGTTGGATGCGTCGCTGCGAAAGCTCCAGACCGACTTTGTCGACATCCTCTACGTGCATTGGTGGGACTATGCGGCAAACATCCCCGAGATTATGCACGCTCTCAACGACGTCGTGGCCCAGGGCAAAGTCCTGTACTTGGGAATATCTGCCACGCCGGCCTGGTCAGTATATTGTCGTTGGTGACCCGGTCGGGTGAAATACTCTGCCAGGCGCGCAGCCCGCTGACGGAAGATCTAGGATCGTGGCAAGAGCAAATGAGTACGCGAGGTGCCACAACCTGAGGCCCTTTGTCATCTACCAAGGACGATGGTCGGCAGCTTGCCGAGACCTCGAGCGAGAGATAATCCCGATGTGCAGAGCCGAAGGGATGGCGATCGGCCCGTGGGGTGTCATGGAGGGAGGAAAATTTAAGGCCAAGGAGGAGAGAGAGGCGGGAGCTGTCCGGGGCCGGCTCTATCCTGGATCAGAGGCCGAACTTCGAGTGTCGGAGGCTCTCGAGGCGATCGCACAGCGCAAACAAGCGCGCCTCACCGGCATTGCTCTGGCATATGTCATGCACAAGACCCCCTACGTCTTCCCCGTGGTGGGTGCGCGGACACCCGAACAACTGAAGCAAAACATCGAGGCCTTGTCCGTGAGCCTCAGCCGGCACGACATCGAAGAGATCGAAAGTGTCGCCGCCTTTGACCGAGGATTTCCCTATAATCTCCTCATGCTTGACAACCAAGCACAGCCAGAGGATATTTCAGGTCATCTGAGCTACAACGATGTCCCTCAAAATCGTGCTTATGGCCACGTCAGGACGGTGCCGTATCCCCAGGCACTCTCTGGAGGTCCATTGGAGAATTAGTTTCAGCGCGAGAGGCTCCCGCCGGGGACGCTGTCATACCGATTTTCGGGCTTGCGAGCATATATACCCACGCCCACGACTAGACTTCAAGGCTCTGTTCGACGTGTCTTGGCGGCGAGAGTCGAGTTTGACGAGTCGTCATTTGTAATTGCGTAGATGGGCAATGGGCAATAATGTATATGTAGTCGGTACAAGCAAAGGTATACCACATATCACATAAAAGTCATCAGAAAAAAGGCTCTTCAGCCAGCTCTCTCTACCAACTCAAGCCCTTGAACCAACAAACTCACCAGAACCCGCGCGAGGCCAAAATGCCAACAAAGCCGACCCTCAACGTCAACCATCTCGCCTTGTCTGTACCTGACATTGGCGCGGCAGTCGATTGGTACACGAGCGTGTTTGGATTCACCATGATTGGCAGCGTCATGGAAGTGAACAAGAACAGTCCGACGGGGCCGGTCATCTCGTCTAGTAAGTAACTTCAGGCGGCACCCCCCCCCCCCCTTTTTGTTTTTTCTTTCGAGTTAGGTAGAGGACTCTTGCCGTGCTTGGAACCGTATTGACTCACTACAAAATTTACATGTGAAAAAAAAAAGTCTACGGGGAAGAATTCGAACAAGTCAAACTCGCGATTCTAACATCCGCCAACGGCGTGGGGTTGGAGATCTTCGAATTCGTCCGACCCAAGTACAACGGACCCAAGCGGCGCGTGGACTGGTGTCCCGACACATACACGAAAGGGGGCGTCTTCCATTTCTGCTTCACCGTGGCGAATGTGGAGGAAACGGCACGGAGGGCGATCGAGAGCGGCGGGAAGAATGTCGGCGTGCTCGTCGAGCCGGTCGAGGGGGAGCAGGCATTCTTTGTCCAGGATCCCTGGGGAAATGTCATCGAGCTCCTGAGTTGTAGCTTCGATGTGCTTTTTCTGAAGAGACTCGGTGGATAGCCAGGAATTGTATGGGGCTTCAAAGTAGAACTTGGATCTGGGGTTCATGAGCCTCGGGGTTTCGTTCATTGGAAAGATCCTCCAGTTACTCAGACTTTGGACTCTATGTCGTGTGTCCAGCTCAATTACTCCAAAACAGTGAGTGAAGAGGGGGAGTCCGCTCGAGCATTTGTGGGTAATTTACGGGTTGAACTCGATACCATACAAGCGGGAAGAGATTCTTTCCCCTTTTTGATCTGAAAGATCTCAGTGTGTGTGTAACATTGCAGATTATTAGGACAAAACAAAAGAGTAATGCCGAATTATCGGGTCGGAAGAAAGCCAATCCGGGGGGTTCTTTTTTCCTTTTTACAAAATCCAACCCTCTCAAATTGATTTGAATTCTCCAAAAGAAAGGAAATCTAAGCTTTCGGAGTCGTAGACTCGACCATTTCGACCTCGTGGTCACTCGGGCCATGCTCAGCATCTTTCGTCACAGTCGCGTCCTCGGCTTTGACGTCGGTGACGAGTCGTTGGGCAACTTTCATTGTCAAGTGAGAGGACAGCTGTCAATCATTGTCAGAACATGTGTATATAGTCTCAGGTCAATGGATCATCGGCGACAAAACTCACATCCTTGGTTGCCAGAGCGGCGATGAGTGCCACGATACCAAAAGGTATGCTGGTATAGAAAACGTAGCGGAACGCATGCTGGTAGGCATCCTGGAAGGCTGAATACGCCAATTGGAATATCTCCGTCGTGATCCCAGGGATCGAAGCGAGGGTTTGCCCGGGCGTAGCTCCAGTGAGGAGGCCCAGTAGCAGCGGAACGGATTCGAGTGGAAGCCCGGCCTGTGTAGCTGCTGCTGTCACCATTTGGGGGATATAAACCGATGCTTTACTTGTAAGCACAGTGGTGTAAATGGCAGTGCCTGCCGAGCCTCCAATGTATCTGGACAAGCCCATCGATGCTGTGGCGAATCCGATCCACTCGTCCGGTGTACATAGCGAGATGAAAACGATCGGTAACGTGGTAGTTATCCCAATGCCTTTTGTTTTCGTGTTAGTATTGTGTGACAAAATCCCGCGTTCCAAGATCGTGTTCTTACCAACTCCAGCGAAAAACGAAAATGTCAGTGCGGCAGCCTTGTTATGCGGTCCAGCAATGCTCATCAGGGGAATGAAAATGACTTCGAAGACAACCCCAATGGAGAGGAGGGCGGTCGTGCCGAGCTTTGGTCCGATCCAGGGAAGGAGTACAGCTGATCCCGCCCCTGCAGCGAGTGTGGAAGCTCCCATGATGGTCTGGTATACTCCAGCCTTGAGCAAGTCGTCTCCAGTGTACATGATGGTCAGGAAGGTCGGCCAATTGGCCTGGAGAGCATAAAACATCATGCCGCCGACAAACGACACCACCAAGATCATGGTGAAGGTGCGAACGCGTTTGAACAGGAAGGGATGTAGTAAGGGGGCCTTGGGAACGTAGGCTTCGTAGAACCCCAGAGCGATAAGAGTCACGACGCCGATGAGAAATGGTGCCAGGAAATGGGCACTTGTGGCTCCGTACTGGGGGACCCAGATGACTCCCAGCAGGACAAGCGTCGGGCCGACCTGTAATTCTCGTCAGACTCGGTATTACTACAGCATAAACGTGTTGGTTCAAGACTTACAATGATCCCACCGAGTCCAACATAGTCAAAGTCCCGGATCATGGACCCTTTGCTGGCAGAGGCAGCCAACGGCTTCGCGGGAAAGTATGTGACGGCGCAAGCGACCGTTCCAGCAATGTTGGCCGCGAGAGCCATCCAGAAGACCGATTTCCAACCCGGTCCCGTGTTCAAGATCATCGAACGGGCGATCAGTGAGCCACAGAGATCAAACGGAAGAGCGGTCAAATTCATGACGCCAACCACCGGACCACGGTATTTGGTTGGGACCAGTTCGGAAACACTGGCGAAGCCATTCACTGCTCCCGCTTGATTCAAGCCAAACAACGTCATGGTCGCAATCACTAGCGAGGGTTTTTAGATTTTGATCTTTCATTTCTTGAAACGCGATGAGATTTCTCACTTTGCCCGATGGAATGCGAGGTCAGTCCCAGGATGGACGCGACCACCCCGAGAACCCCGGTTCCGATCGTAAACCAGCGGCGCCCGAATATGTCTGACAGCGACCCGGCACAAATCAGACCCACGCCGGTTGCAACGGTCCACGACGACGCGATCCAGGTGAAGGACGGGTCCGGGCCGAGGTCTTCATTGATATTACCCAGCACGGGGACAAGGCACAAGAATGTACCAAGAGAGGTCGAGAAGATGAAGCTGATGGATGAAATGGACAGCAAGACCCGGATCGACAGCCGCGAGACCTCTTGGTTGGGATCCGTGATCTCATGCTCCCGGAGCTGTTCGTCACTCGGGGCAGAACGCAACAGGCCCTCGACCTTGTGGTGATGGGTTTGGTCAGCGTCAGCCATGACCAGAAACTGCGAAGTGTAAGTTTCAGGACTTGATAGAGGGGGTTTCAGCTTCACAAATCTAGGAGGGAATGTTCGTAGTTGGTTTTGCCCTCGACTTTCAATGATCACGAGCTTAGGGTTGTCGATTTATACTTGACCCTCCCGGAATTGTGATATGCTGTCCGGAATTGCAAACCGATCGAGCTTTACCAGGTTGTCCCGTGGGGAACTATCGACTGACCCATGGGGTGTTAGAAACAAAAGCGGAGTTGGATTCGCCAATGAGAGAGCACGAGGAGGGATGTCCCTGGCACGTTGTCGCTTCGGTTCGGATGGACATTATCTCGCACACGTGGGCGATCCATACCGTAAGCCATGTGGCCATGTATTATTCAAACAATGGGAACTCGTTCCTTTCTGTTCCCAATGTAGTTCCGGACTACCGATTACAGAGTGAGAGAGTCTTGATCGTGTAGCTAGATGCTAGACCATTGATTCAATCCTTGCCTGCCTTAGTGGCTAGGAGGATGACTACAAGTGTATATGGCTGAAACCACCGTCAACCATGATGGTCTGGCCCGTGATGTGGCTACTCTCCGGACTGAGCAAGAAGCTGATGACCGAGGCCTGCTCTTCAGGACACGCCATGACCTTGAGCGCGATGGGCTCGGTGTATCTGTTTTCCTCATGCTTATAGTCGGGGTCGCTCTTGACGCTGTCGTGCATGTTACTCAGCGCCAACGGCGTGACTGTTGCTCCCGGGCAGACAGCATTGCACCGAATGCCCTGTGAGCCGTAGAAGAAGGCCCCGTTCCTCGTGATCTCCAGGACCGCTGCCTTTGTCGGCGCATACGCAGCAAAGCCCATGCCCGTCACGGCCGTGGTGGAACCGATGTTGACAATCGCCCCTCGCTGAGGCTTGATGGGCAGAGAGGGTGCTGGGGATATCTCAACCGCTCTCGGAGACTGTTTCAACATTTGAGCCGCCTCGAACTTCTGACACAGCCATACTCCACGTTGGTTGACTGCAAAATGGCTGTTTGGGGGCGCGTTAACAGGGCTCAAGCCTGATTGTGATCGAGCCGCCACTTGAAGGAGGCCATGTATACAAACATACCTGTCCACATCCTGGGTCGAGACACCGACCTCATCGTCCCTGTCCCCCCGACAAAAGCCAGCAATGTTGGCAGCGTAATCGAGCCGACCCCATCTGTCGACGACGGCCTTGACCATTGCCACCACATCCTCTTCCTTGGACACGTCCACATGGAGAAACAGGGCGTCGACCTTGAACGTGGCTTTGATCTCTTCGGCCAACTTCTCCCCCAGGTCGCCCTGGACATCGGCAATCAGGACATTGATGCCCCGACTGGCGAGTTTCTTAGAAGTGGCTGCGCCTATGCCCGACGCGCCCCCAGTCACGACTGCGGTCCACAGATCGGAAGTGGCCATTTCTTTTTCGAATCTTCTCGTTCTTGTTGATTACCCCCTCCGTGACCTGGTTGGGTCACTCTTATAACCAGCACCTGCTCCGCCCGGTACTACGGAATTGCAGCCCAAAGGGTTCCGGACTCGCCAAACCCCCACAATTCTCCGCCCTCTTTAAACAACAACGAAAGGAATTCCCCGGAATGGAAATTGGCATTAAAATGATAATGTTCTGTGGAAAGAGGAAGAAAGAGAAAAAACCAACTCTTCTGTTTCTTCTCCCCTTGTCGAACATCAGAAAACGGACTTGATCTGAGAAAAGAAAAAAAAAGGCACCTCTTCTCTATCTTTACGACAGACACCTCATCTCATCTCCCCTCCCCTCCCGTCTCCGTTGCAGCTCCTAACCATGGCCGGGGAAACCATGTCGAAAGAAGCCGTGGTCGAGATGGAGGACCACGTGGGCGTACCTCCCATATCGGCGCAGCTCAGCGAACTTCCACCGGGATACTTTCGAAGCTCCCTCTTCCTAGGGTCCATGGCTGCGGTGGGCATTGGCCTCCTTGCCGCGATATCCAGCTTTGCATTGGCAGCCCCGATCCTCGGCGTCATCAACGAGGACATCGGTCCCAGCTCCAACATCTCGTGGGTGGCGATTGTGTACACGCTGATGATCGCCGTCGGTCTCACCATCGTGGGCCGCTTCACCGACATCTTTGGACGTCGTCACACCTTCATCGGCGGAGCAGTGCTCGGGGTGGTGGGGAGCATCGTCTGTGCCACTGCCCCAACAGTCGGGGCCCTCATCGCCGGCATGACGCTCGTCGGGCTGGCGGCCTCGACCCAAGTCTCGTACTTCTACGTCACGGCCGAACTGATTCCTCAGAAATATCGCTTCCTGGGCAACGCCATCATGTATGTCTTCATGATCCCCGGCGGGGCATTTGCGCCGGCCATTGCCAATTCGTGCATTCTCCACACTCCTGGCGGTTGGCGCTCGACATTTTACATCGTCATTGCAATCCAAGCCGCGGCCTTGTTCTGCTGGGTGGCCTTCTATCGTCCCCCAACGTTTGAAATGAAGCACCGCGACAAAACACGGCGAGAATACCTCTTGAAATTCGACTACATCGGCACGGCACTGTTTGCTGGAGGTCTTTTGTGTTTCTTGTTAGGCCTTTCGTGGGGAGGAGCGGTTCACCCGTGGAAGTCAGCACACGTCCTCGCAACCATCATTGTGGGGGGTGTTTCCCTGATTGTGTTTGCGCTGTGGGAGCTGTTTGCGCGACTCGAGGAGCCGCTGGTTCCCATAACCCTTTTGGCCTCGGGACCTTGGACGGCGGCCGTGGTGACATCTGGTATCGGCGCCAGCCTGTACTATGCCCTGACCATCGTCTGGCCGTCAATGGTGGCCATCGTGTATCCCTCTGGAGATCTGATCACCGACGGACTGAGAGCCTCCATCGTCGGAGCATGCTGGGTCAGTGGCGAGATTGTCTCTGGCATCGTCGCAAAACCCGTGGGGAGAATCAAGCTGCAATGTATCGTGACACTAACGTTAGCCGGTGTGCTCCTCGGTTGTAAGTATATATATGCCTTGCAAGACCTTCCGTTGGCTGGCCATTTGACGACGAGTTCGTTTGCTAACTGTTTGTCCTTTTTGTAGGTATGGCCACCAGCGATCCCGATTCCAGCACTAGAGCAACGGTGCTCCTGAGCTTCAGTTGCTTCTTGGCCGGGTACGTCGAGGGCCTCTCTCTCACCATCACCACCCTGGCCTTGGAGGATCAGCAGCAGATGGGTGCCGGGTGTGGATTTGGAGGTTCGATCCGCTTTACCATTACAACAGTTGCCACCACCATCTACACCGTCGTCCTCTCGGCCCGTCTGAGCGCGACCATTCCGGACCAAGTGCCCCCGGCGCTTGTCTCGGCGGGACTACCAGCCAGCAGTGTCGCAACCTTCATCGGCAATTTGGCGTCGGGACAGTCTCTTGCCGACATCCCCGGCGTGACGGCTTCGATCATCGATGCCGGAATCCAGGCATACCGATCAGCCAATGCGGATGCCTACCGGACTGTATTCCTCTCCACGATCGCTTTCACAGGCATCGGCATCATCACCACCCTCTTCCTGCCCAACACCGATGCATTGATGACGGATGAGGTCTCTACCACGCTCCATCATAAGAAGGACGAGAAACTTGCACGTGCTGCTGCACATGTATAACTCCGACCACGGTGCTTTCGTCCTCAGCTTCGTCGAGCTTCTGTAAGAAGTGACAATCTATCTGGATGGGCTGGCCGCAGAAGCAGAGCAGAGCGGGTTTATTGTCTCCACACTATTGAGAGGAGCAATGGGCGGTGGCGGTGTATCCTCTAGTATCGATGTAAATATATATGCTGGAAGAACAATTTTGGCTCATTGCCAGTTGATAGTCCAAGATTGACCATGCCTTGAAATCCGGCTTCTGAACATAAATCTACAGCGTCAGTTCAAATATGCATTGAGGCAGATGCCATCTTTCATTCACCGAGACCACGCGATCGAGGGTGAGGACTTGACTGTTACACTGGTTGCACTGGAGGCGAACGAACTCGTAGAACTAGATTGTTCTGGAGGCATTTGGTCGTCATAACAGGGCCCCGTCGCCAACTTGAAGTGGAAATGGAAGTAGGGAAACCAGTTCGCTCACTTGCTTGAAGTTATGGGTCTTCCCCCTGCTTGTTCTCTCCCCTATATTCGCTTACTTGCTTGCGTTTTCCTATCTTTGCTGCGGCCAAGTAGAATTTCCTCTCTGGTATCCAAATCACGGAACTTGCTCTGGTTTGTCTAGACAGATATCGTAGTGTTTCGTCTCGAGTGCAGGAATAGGCAAGCCAGAGTCCTCCCCTTCGGGCTTGAGTTGGTAGCAGCTTAGGAGCCTTAGTGAGGGCCTTTGTGTATTGCGTCCTTCTCCAAGTCTCCTGTAGATTCTGCAACCTCTTCAGATCGAAGGTGTTGGGCCGTTTTGTGGGATAGTCGGTAAGTCAGCTGGTTGAACCCACGTTAGCTCAAACCATTAAAGCCATAAATACTTCTGAGCCGCCTACATCTTTGGTCATGATAGCGCAACCAAGAGCAATCACGCCGAACGGAATACTTGTAAGCCAGACATAGTGGAATGCCTGCCTCCATGCTTTGTGCAAGGCGCTTGTCGACGCTTGGATAATGCTGGGACTAATGCCCGGTACATCAGTAATGCTTTCGCCGGTGACGACGCCGGTCAAGATCCCTAGTAGTTGTCGTAAAGAGCCTGCTGGAAGCCCTGCTTCGAGCGCAGCTGAGCCCACATACTCGGGAATGAGATCTGCGCTCCTGCTGTTGAGGATGGTTGTATAGACCGCGGATCCAGCAGATCCCCCGATAGACCGCATCATTCCTAGGAGCCCAGTGGCAACCCCGATCCACTCGTCCGGGGTCGCCAGCTGGATTAGAAGAATGGTAAGCAGCTCGACCCAGCCGATACCTGGAGACGGTCAGTGTGCATCAGGAATATTAGGCTCTTTGAAGTAGTGACTGACCTGTCCCAGCGAAGAAGGAAAAGGCCAATGCCATGCCCCTCGAGTTTGCAGTTGGGAGACACATCAGTGGAATAAAGAGTACCTGGAGCGTGACTCCAATCGCGAGGTGGAGCCTGGTCCCAATGATGGGAGCGATAATAGGGAGTAGCAACGCAGACGACACCCCTCCTACATTTGTTCCGGCGCCAAATGGCATATAGTCCAACCCAATTGCTCTTGTGTTGTCCCCATGGAACATGACACGAAGATATGTCGAAAAGAAGGCGACAATGGAATAGAAGAGCATTCCACCCACTGCCGCGACGACCAGGATGAGGGTAAACTCGCGAACGCGTCGAAAAAGGAAACGCTTCATGATAGGATTCGAAGCATAGAAGGCCTGATGGAATCCCAAACAAACCATGAGAGCGATACCCGCAAGGAAAGGTCCCAGAAAGTATCCGCTCTTCGCCCCGTAGGTCGGAACGTACTTGATGCCAACGAAAAACAAGGTTGGTCCAGCCTAAGCAGATATGAGCAAGAGTGGGTGACCTGTCGACACCAGGAAGATGAGACTTACGGTGGCCAAAGCGAGGCCGACATAGTCAAACTCTTTCAGGAGTTGACGTCGAGTCTTCATTCCCGCAGCAAGTGGCTTCGCCGGGAAGTAGTTTATAGCCACAAGCAGAGTTGCGAGACCATTTGCAGCCACAATAATCCAGAACAAGGTTCTCCATCCTGGAGCGGTGTGGACAGCAACCTCATGTCCGATCAGAGATCCGCATGTTGCCCAGACCAGTATGCCTGCATTGACGGCGCCGAGAATAATGCCACGCAGGCGAGTGGGGACGATCTCAGCGATGGCTGCAAGAGTGTTCATTGCTCCTGCGTGATTCAAGCCAAGAATTGTCAGGGAAGCGAGTGCTAAAGAATAAGCCATCATGTTTGAGACCAGAAACATGTCACAAGCAATTGACTCTTACCAGTGGGAATGTTCTGGGCCAATGCCCCACAGATACCACCTGCAACCCCCAAAACCCCTGTTCCAATGACGAACCACCGTCGTCCGAGAACATCGGAGAGCGTACCGGCAACGATCAAGCCGACGCCGGTTGCCACGGTCCAGCACGTAGGGAGCCAGCTGTACGCAGGGTCGGGGCCTATGTCGGCGTTGATAATTCCAATGATTGGAGAGACACAAAGATAGATGCTGATGCCCATGTTGTAGATGAAGCCCAGCGAGATGATGACGAGCCATTTCTTCCACTTAATTGCCCGCAGTTCTCTCCAGAGGCTGACATTGCTGTCGTCGGGAGAATTGGGTGGAACGTCGACATGGTCTGCGGCGACTTGTATCTTCACATTCTCTCCCTCGATAGATGCAGGAGATGCTTGCATGCTTGTGATTGTTGGAGAGCAGAGGCAGACTGCCCGGTTTTGCCGTTCAGTGATTCGCGGAGATGGCAGGGTTCGTGCTCAAGCAAAGTTGGAACAGTTGGTAGTTCTCCTGATCTTCAGTTCGGTCGTGACAGCGACTAATATAGGTTTTCACAATGGCTGGTATATTGAATACAAGGCTTGGTGGGCTCGTATCAACGCGAGTCGTGATAGTCATACTACGACACCCTCTTTATAGGGGCAGCTCGACCAGAGGGCGGAATGGAGATAATAGGTGTCCCATTCGAGACGCCATCTGCCACCGGACAAAGCCAAGATTCGTATAGAACATGCTCTCCATACGGGGCCCCAGGAAATGAAGTGGTGGAATGGAAGCCTATTTCGTTTTGTGTTGCCGCACGAGTCGTTACACCCGACACTCAAATGTTGCGGACATTCACTGGTCGAACACGAGTATCAGGGAGGTGGCTCGGCGCCCATCGTTTACCCAGACTTGCGTCTTGACCTGGTATAGGCAAGGATGGTGTGGAAGCCGTCCTCACTTCCAAGGTCTGATGGTTCGGCTCCACCTAAGGCACTTTGGCCGGAGGCTATACCCATCGAATTCATGCAGACTGTGCATGACTCCTCGCTTGTTTCGCTAAGGATTGAGCGTGGGAGATGGCGCGGACATTATATTACTGACATCGGAGCGACGCGGAAGGTAGAACAAACAAACTGCATCAATGGCGTCTGTATCGTGTCAAGAGAGGGAAGGGAGAGGTTCCATTAGGTGCAGTACTTATAGAAGTAGGTGGGCAGCCTATCCCAATAGGGAAGGTAGCGCCTAATTAGTCATGTGACTACAGCATACATCATCTAGCGAAGCTTTAGCTAAGCTGGTATTACCGGTAAAACTAACTAAATAGCTATGCTTCTAATTAGTTACCCTTATCGGCGTGTCACGAACCGCCAAGCATAACTCGCACGTGACAACCCCTTATTATTTAAGCACCGCATGCTCACCGCCTGAGGGAAGCTTCCTTCCCTTATGCTTTAAGTTTCAGTTAAGATATACTATTAAGGAATCCCTATACCTACCTATTACCTATCACTACCCTCTGCCTATCTCTATAAGCCGTTCCTGACAGAATATGACTAAAAGCGGCGAGAGTAGATCACCTCCTCAATTTCCACGTCAGGTCTAGATAAAGGGATCTCAAGCTGTCCTGGCCATCTCTATACTCCTCTGACAGGATTTTATTACCGCTCGTCGCTTGAGTCTTTGATGATCGCCAGAAACCCCCAAGTTGTCGCCCAACTAGGAGATACCTACGGGCCTAATAATTGAAATAAAACTCGAAAGCTTAGATACACATCCTTATCGCTAATGACTAGACTGTGGCACTGGACGGATTCTTATAAGGTTTTTAGGTGGCCTACCCGGATTTATTATCTGGTAGGCCGCAACGAGCAATGCTTCGGTCCAACAACCCGTCGCCGAAAACTTTGCCGGTATCCGAGCTTCAGGTAGCAGGGCGGCTCTCCACAGATGGTACCCGGGCCTCACATCCAGGAGATCAAGTGCTTGTTGCCTGAGGAATCCTTGGTAGAGCCATGGGGCCGGGAGCTTCGTTTCAGATTTTCCGTGCGCAATGGAAGCCCTTCCAGGCGCCAGCCAAAGAGTTCCACACTTGTGCTCAATGGACTGTGTTCCGTGGCCGCTCTTCCGTCCCTGTCTGGGGAAGCTGCCTCTCCACGGGGTACTCTGTCCTCCAACAGGGAGCATACAATAGCCGAGCCAGAACCCGGCGGTATTCGAGTACAAGTACCCTGCCTGCGTTCTTCAGTGTCGTTTGGCCAGACAGAGCCACTAAATTACTATCGCTTCTCTTCATCTGCCTGGGTCATCAATTTAGGCACGAGCTGAATGCACTCGTCTCCACATTCTCGAGAAATGGACGACAAGGCCAACGACATTAAGACGGAGGAGGTATCATCTCCTGATGGGGAGGGCAACGCTCATCATGCACCTTCTGAGTACATCAACGGGAAGCCATACTGGCGTACCAAGCGATTCCAGGGTTCCTTTTGGGCCATCGGGTTTGGCTGTCTTGCCTGCTACGCAGGCTTTGCCATGCCCGCGAACACATTGGCTCTCATTAACGATGACATTGGTAAGTCTTCTTGCTTTTTCGCGCGAAAGTCGTTATCTAACCGAAGCCAGGTCCAAGCGCCTCTATTAGCTGGGTCTCACTCACATGGACACTGACCGTTGCCGTGGGTTATACACTCGTCGGACGGCTGAGCGATATTTTCGGCCGGAGATACTTCTTCATCGGCGGCGCCACCCTTGCGTTGATTGGGAGCATTGTCGCTGCAACAGCGCGTACTGTCAATGTGTTAATCGGCGCAACAGTACTTATCGGGCTCGCCGCTGCTTCTCAGATCTCCTTCAACTATGTGATTGGCGAGCTTGTACCAGTCAAGCATCGCTTCATATTTATGGCTTTGATTAACGCGGTCAATATTCCCATCGGCGCTTTTGGCCCGGTCATTGCCCGGTCTTTCATCCTGCATACTTCGGCAGGGTGGCGCTGGAACTACTACCTAACTATTATCTTAAGTAAGTATAAAGACTGTTATTGTTCGAGCCAGATTTTAAGATGAGAATAGATGCTTTATCCCTAATTCTATGGGTATTATTTTACTATCCACCGGATTTCTCTCACCTTCATCGAGTTCGTTCTCGCTGGCAGGAGGTTAAAGGGATCGATTACATTGGCATTGTACTCTTCACAGGAGGAAACCTACTCTTCTTGATGGGTCTATCCTGGGGAGGCGGACAATATCCCTGGAAGTCAGGACATGTCATTGGATGCATCGTTACTGGCGTCGTCAGTCTAGTGGCCTTCGTCCTATATGGTATTTTCAATCCGGTAAATTCATCTCTGGAGAACATGTCCTGACCTCAAACAGAAATCTACTCTGGTGTTCACCGCCCTTTGGTGCCAATGGACATCTTCAAGAATTTCCAATACGACGCTATCGTGGTGTTAACTACGGTGGGCGGCATGATCTATTACTCCATGACCGGTACGTACGGATAAAAAGATGGTTACTCCAATCTTGTACTAACTTTGATTTTAGTTATTTATCCTACAACACTCACTGTTCTGTACTCCACCGACACGATGAAAGTTGGCTGGTTGTCCTGCGCCGTAGGTGGCGGTGTACAAGCGGGACAAGTGATCGGTGGCCTCATTGCCATGCGTATTGGCCACATCAACTGGCAAATGGTATTCGCATCAATAGTTATGGCGGTCTTCATCGGTGGTTTAGCTGCCCAGACAAAGGATACTCTGGCGTGAGTAGTGAAGCTATTGATTTCTGAAGCCCCTACTAACAACAACAACTAGCTTATCCACTGCCTTTGCAACCCTGGGCTCCTTCGGTGTGGGATATATTGAAAACCTTGCAGCCACAGCAGCTACTTTTGTGATCAAGGACCAAAAGCAAATGGGAACGAGTAACGGCATCTTTGGAAGTATTCGAAGTGCCGGGGGAGTTCTTGCCACGACCATCTACCTTGTTATCCTCACCAACCGCATGAACACCAACACCAAGAATATGATTATTCCTACCGTTGTCGAAGCTGGCCTTCCGGATTCATCCATTACGGCATTCTTGACGGCCTTGAACAGTGGTGTTGCCTCTGCACTACAAGCCGTTCCTGGCGTTACTGAAAAAATCATTCTGGCGGGTGAGACAGCGTATTTGGCCGCCTATACCGATGCGTTCCAGAAAGTTTTTCTGGCCAGCATTGCATTCGGCGGCCTCTCAATCATTGCTGCACTCGCGGTTAGGCCATTCACCAAGGAAGAACTCTCCGGGAGCCTTGTCTTCCATCTGGGTGCGTCCAAGCCGCAGCACGCAAGAGATGGAGCTGTGGAAGATCAGAACGAGGTGGACGCCCCTCTCGATTAGGAGCAGGGCTCTCAGATTGCCAGGTAGTCGGCATTACGTGGCAAGCTGCAACTCGTAAGGGTAGTCCTAGCTGTTTCGTACATTAGCTACCGAGTCGTACCCATTACTTTGACAACATCGCAGGAAAGTGACGAGGCTGCTACATTCGAAATGTCACACAAAAACCGCACTATTAGGGTGTATAAAAGGTTCCTCAACTTGTTTAAATGAAGAGACACTGGAAGTGCGAACTATAAGGCATACATAAAGAGCACGAGCAAGAGGGCCAGCGGTACGTGATATAGTCACGTGTTAAGGGCAAGGCTGGCGCCCCCTCCCCCCTTCTTCTCTCTCCACACACACATACACAGTGGCTGCCCAAGGTGGGAGGGAAGGAGACTATGGCAAACATGACAAGAAAGGGCATGTCATGTCGCCTTGGGTAGAGACCCAGCAAGCGTTTACTTTTCGCGACCTTGCTGTTGTACAGTAGTTCCCACAATTCAATACGTAGTGCCTCGAACCCAATGCTGGCCGGCAGTCAGGCGCAGAGTTTGGTTCCCGAGTGATGCACCTCGGTTAACTTGCCGAGCCGGCTATGAATAGCCGGCTCGTCGAGTCTGGACACGGAAGGCCATGGGAGCAGAGGCGGCATAAGACAGGAATTGTTGCGGATGTAGGCCGTGGGTTACAGGCCTGTTGCATGTGCCCACGACGGCCGCACGAGCTGTAATTACCGTTGCCGTACCCCATTTGTCTCTCTAGTGCGAGTGCTTAGAACATTCTGATTGCTAAACCTTCTCCAGGTTAGCTTGACTTGCTATGATTGCCAAACACCAATACGTCTCCTTCATTTTCAAGACGCCTTTCACGAAGCTCATTGTTGGAGCCGACCCCAGGAAAATAAAGCCATGGCCACCCTCTCTACTCTACCTCTCTCTGGAGACCCCGTCTTTATTCGCCACTAACTCCCAGTTGAAAAAAAATCGCCCAAAAGGTCGTTGCTGAACGGTAGAGCTCCTTTTCTTCAACCTAGTTCGATTGCTCTACTAACTGCTGCTGCTATTGTTGCTCCTGGGACTTGCTCTACTCGCAGGATGAACTCATCTACACCAAACTCACCCTCACCGAGTGGACAGGCCATAACTCAGCAGTAAAGCGCTCAAGGCCCAGCTTTAAAAGGTCCAAGGAATAAGCCTCGCGCGACTCGTATGTGCGAATTTTAGGCATCGCAAAATCAAGGTCAGCGAATCCGGCCTAATATAGGAGAGATCTAAAGTGACTGCCGGTTTGAAATCGCGTCAGGGGTTTTCTTCTCAGGAGGAAGGAGACCGGAAACGATGAAGTTACGGTGGAGCTGATGGAAGAGAAAGCTACTGACCCCTACGACCTCCTAGCAGTGAGACCGCCTGCAGTGTCCGCTGTAACATCTCTGGTAATGGTGGCACTTTACCCGCCCGCATGGTAAGCCCAATAAAGGCAGGAGGTGGGCAATGGAAAACGCGGATAGAAAACACTCCAAATCACGAAGATAACCAGTATCAAGACAACGTGCACATGACGGGCGCTACATGTCACCTAAGAAAACACCATATTAATGTCAATGACATTCGTTCGCTGGGTAGTTCTAGATGCCTCGAAGGCTAGCCAACAGCAACCCCATACATTTGGACTTTTTGCCTTTTTCCGCGTGACTGTATCCGCAGTGATAAGTACGGCTGCATTTTTACGTGGGGTTCAAAAGGATTCCTTTTACATTGTTCGTAGGCGCGATTTGGTTTGGCTACAACAAGAGTGAGTGAGCTAAGTCGGGGATTCAAACGCGCCATCTTGCACTATTCATAGCGCATCATACAGGAGCAATTGTACGAGTCAGACTATGAGACCTGGCAATTCTTTGTCAAAACCCCAGCACGTGAGAACCCAATGCAGACAATCATAGATGAAGAAAAGTCCAATCGCGAACGTGCCTCTTTGCCATTTGCTAAACCATTTCTAGGGGTTCAGCGTAAAAAGTGATAAGGTAGAGAAGGTCACTCCGCTAATGAGAGAGATTCATCAACGATTGGACCACGAGCCGTTGCAGCAAAAGTTCCCCGAAACCAACTCTCGGTCCACGCTTCCTTTTGCCCTTTTTTTCAAATGAAGGGGTTTCAATCTACTTGATTTGTAGCTTCCTCCACCGCTAAATGAGTGCTCGTGCATAGTTTCCCCCGTTAGGCAGGCTGTAGATGGTGTGGGTGTGAAACCTATTGGGCTCCCCGTTGGTCAAGTAGATGCCTGAGTGATGATTGAACTCGATCAGGACAACCGGGCCCTGAATGCGATAGTAGAACGGGTCTTCGTCCCGAAAGAACCGATCCAGCAGAAGTACGTCTCGTGGAGGGTCTACGGGAAATCCCGTTCGTATGACTGGAAGCGGACAAAAGTGTTGTAGCCTTTTATTTCAAAACTCGGGGAGAGGGCCTCCGGGAACTCATTGCAAAAACCCACTTAGCCCCGACTTGACGTTCTTAATTCGATATATTGAGTGCCCAGCTCTATTGTGGTGACGGCGTTTGCATTTATTATCCTACTTTGATACCCATTACCGCTTCTTGGACGGTGGTTTTACGAAGTATGATTGTGGATTATAAAACTCATTTCGCGGAGAGGAATTCGAAGCCGTTTTATCGATGATCTTGGAATGCGTTAGGCTGAACAACGGTCGTCAGACGGGATCTTTAGAAGTTATGCTTTAGCCCCCAGTTGAGTCGCGGCTCGACAGACACAAAGGCGGTGCTGAGGTATGCCAAAAAGACTTTCGGGCCGCGGCTTGCCTCTTTAGGACGGTGGTTGCAGATCGACTAAATGCATAAGCCTTACATGTTTGCGGATCATGACCCCCGCGTCAAAACCTGGAGGCTGTGGAGGCCCCATACTTCGCTTTGCAGACCGGCTGAGGATATGGCGGTGTAACTTTCCTAGTGTGATCAGATGTAAGTACGCCTGTGATTTGCTGATTGGCCAAGGGTGGCCAACAAGGGAAAATCTGTAACAAGATTGCAGACAGACCCCATACAATTTGGGCTGAGGAAGGGAATGATTTGGTTTTCTTTCTCTCAAGAGGATCGGACAAAGACGAAAGAATGTCCGGACATTCTTACCGCCGTCATTCAAGTCTATAAAGTAAAAGTCTCCTCAAATCTCCGTGATGGTTGGCCCCTTCAGTTATTCCACCTCTTTTTCGGATCACGAAAGGATCAACTACAGCACCATCTACCCCGGTCCTTCACTTACTTCCACTCCAAGCAGTACTTCTAGTCTTATCTAGGCGAGCTATTCTTGGACATCATACCTGAGTGTCAACTATCAGCCGTCCAGGTCTTCAAACAATGTCACAACGTGTGGAAGACCAAATCGCTGGCGTACAAGACGACAGCTATAAAAGCCCGGTTCATCAAGAACATGGGGGCAGTTCGACTCTTATACGAGAGCCTTTGCGCGCAAACTATTGGAATTTACGATTCATCGTCGTTTTTATTGTAAGAGCATCACCTTGCATGGTTTTACAATAATTGTCTAATGGAAATGACCAGTCTATCTCTTTTGGATTCAATGCCGCCATGCTTGCAACATCAACAAGTTGGAATTCTCTCTCGACTGGGATCCCAGAAACCCTTGGTAGGCATATCTAACGTGCACTTGACAACCGATTATCAGCATTGACCACAATTCTAGGAGCAAGTCCTTCTCTTGCATGGGGATATCCTACCCTTATTTTCTCCCAGGCTTTAAGCTCTGTTCTTTTTGGTAGACTCGGATTTTGTTGGTCGACGCTGGATTTTCGTCATTGCCAATCTTATTGCTTTTGTTGGGTTCATCGCAGTTGGACGAGCTTCCACTCAATCGACGATAGTAGGACTGGTAAGCTAACGAGGGTATCAACATTGTCGCTGCTATTAATCCAAAGAAAGGGTGTCCTGGTCGGCATCGGGACTGGCGTGCAGATTATCGGACCGTTTCTGGCACTGGCGGACATGGTTCCTGCTCACGAGCGCTTCACGATCGTAGGGGCTTGCATATGTTTGTTGGCTCCAATCTATGCAATGCATTCTGCCATTGGTCAGTATTGATCGAGTTCTTAACTTGTCAAGCTAATCTGGTTTTATCACACAGCCCAAGCGTTACTCGAGAAAGCCGCCGATGGCTGGCGCTGGACGTATTCTATTAATGCAATATTTTCGTTCGCAGCCTTCCTCGGACTGCTGTTCTTTTATCACCCTCTCTCCTACCGGCAGCTGCATGACAACCCAGAGTGGGAACACCACAAGCAGAAGGATTGGACTGGGTTGATTGCTTTGGCAACACTGCTCGGGGTCTTGACTTATTTTCTTCTCTGGGGACAGACCATTTATGGTAAGTTGCGGTGTTTTGGTACACTCGTTACTAAAGATACTGATATCTTTACCAGCGTGGAAAAGCGCACAGATGATTGCTTTGGTCACGATATCAGGTGTGGCTCTCACCCTGTTCTTAGTATATGGTAAGCAAAATCGTCGATACATCAGGCCCATCGGTAACACCAGTCAGAATCCTTTCGAGGAAATGACCACGCCGCATTCCCTCCATACATACTCCGAAACTGGACGATACTGTCGCAAATAGCCGTCGCGAGCCTCACCTCACTTTTTCTCTGTCTCTTGCCAAGTACTTTTGCGCTTCTATATGGAACTGTCTTCCAAGAGCAAGGCATGCAGGCGGCATGGGATGCGGTACGTCAATCCTGATCTGAAAAAGTGCACAGCTAACGGGACAGTCAACATGGTCCGCAGGGCTGGTGGGTGGCTGGATTGCAGCTGCAATTGCTCTGGTCCGGCCTAAATTCGTGAAGTGGCATCTTCTGTTCGGTGTTGTGTTTCTGATGGTGTTCCTCTCGGCTTCGGCCACCCTCAATCCTACTCGACACCGATCGTCTTTGGCATTCCTCACTCTTATAGGCTTCGGCGAAGGCTATTGTATGCTTGTCAGCTACGTTACAGGGCCTCTAGCGGCTCACAAGCGTGACATGGGGCTTGTTGCTGGACTCATATCCGGGTTTCGCAGTCTCTTTTATGGTGTCCTTGGTGAGTATCTCCCCCTATCATTCCATTCTAGCCCGCTGATAATCGCCTTAGGTTGTGTTTTCATGGCTATTGTAAGTTTTGTTTTCTCTTCCAGTCAGAGACGAGGCACAGGCAGGGCACTGACAGAACTTGTAGTTTGAGCCACGGCTCCAAAGAAGAATGGTTACCAATGTCACTGAGGTGGTCTTAGCTGATGGACTTCCTCAGACATCACTAGTTCCACTCTTCAGTGCTATCCAGGCTGCTTTGACATCTGGTGATTCTTCAGGATTGCTTAAAGTCTCAGGAGTCACCTTGCCTATGGTGGCGGATGTATTTGGGGGTGTAGCCAGAGCTGCTGCAAATGCCTGGCGCTTTATCTTTGAACTTGGAAACATCTACTTTATTTTAGTTATCATCTTGGCCCTGCTCTCAGCCGACACAGACAAACTCTTATCCAAGAAAGATAGAGGCTCGTCTTAGCCGGTCTGTGCCGTTTGCTCTGGATGAATCAATCAGACGGGCAAGGAAGTGTTACTCGACATCAATGAGGGAAGGCACGGCAAAGGATGAGGAATATTCATCTTACAGGCCGTGATATTGAGCTTTGATTATTTGGATTTATAGGGCCAGGCATCATTGGAAACACTTGCACAGAGCTTCCGAACTTATGAAGACCCAAGAGCTCAGGAGAATCGAGATAAGGGAAGCTAGAGCAACGTCCTTGATACAACGCGTATCAGATCTTAAGAAGTAACTTGCCCAAAAATGATGCTGGGCAGTAAATACGGATGTGTCCTTGATTTCCATCAAAGATGCGACTTGCGTGGTCTTCCTGTGCCACCCGGGAAAGCACTATGCTTGGAGTCTGTTGATGAGGTCCGAGATCACTCAAGTATGACTAGTCAGATCTTGCGTTAGACCTTAGCTACATTGGGTATGCCACGGCTCGCAGATAGAACTACCAAGCTTCTGTTGCCGAGACGATGTGGGGCAAGTATGAAATTTAATGCATGACAAGTACGGAGTACTCGGTACCTTCCCACGTTCCCCCGGACCGAAGAACTAGTGGAGCCCCCAGTCTCTCCACAGTTCCTCCTCCAAGCCGACAGCGCATATCCAGACCTACGAAAGTCAAGGACTGCATTTAAAGAGTAACACCCCTGTCTGAAGTCTACAGAAACACGCAGAGTAACGAATTATCCCACCATACTGGATTACATAATTCAAATGATTGTCCCCATTTCCAATATCAAAGCAATGGTTGAGCAGCTCTCACAAATTTCGGGAACCCGAGCATGCGTTTTAACGCTTATTTCTGTATGCTCGACGTATCTCGCTATATGTCCCCAAAAAGCTTACCGATTCTGATCAGGTGCTCGTGTTTATCATTTCCAAGGCCACCTACAACCTGTACTTCCATCCTTTGGCAAAATACCCGGGTCCTAAGCTTGCAGCGGTGTCGGAGATATGGTTTGCTCGAATCTGGTGAGATATCCCGCCCACCTGGCCAGGATGCGAGCCAACACTCGACAGGATAAATGGATCTCTTGCTCGTTCACTCCAGGAAGCTCACGCAAAGTACGGCGACATTGTCCGAATAGCTCCTAATGACCTCGATTTTGTCTCTGTGCAGGCCTTTCGAGATATCCACGGTCACGCGAGCAAGAAAGACTCAGCCGTCTTTTCAAAATCCGAGATGTACGATTCTTTTGACCCTGTGCCTGCCTTTGCGACAATGCGAGACCCTAAGCAACATGCCGAGGGAAGGCGCAAATTTGCCCACGCCTTCAGCGCGACCTCCCTATCAAGACAGAGCGAATACATCATGAAATATATTGATACTTTCATGAGGCAGATCGCCAAGTACGGCCAGGCAGAGGAAGGGATTGAAATTACCCAAGCAAGTTGACCGCTCTTGACAGCCCTTCTTTAGTCCTTATCCTCCTAAAGGCATGGCGCGTGAAACACGAGCTTTGCAATTTCCGGCTCCATATCCAAATTCTTGAGCACGGGCGAATTGTGGAATCTAACAGACTACAGTGGTTGAACTGGTTGACCTTTGACATCGTCGGTGACCTCGCCTTTGGAGATTCCTTTGGAGCAGTTGAGCAAGGTTCACATGTCTCCTGTCGTGCTCCGAGGCTTTTTGAAACTAACGTCGATTAGCGACACCAAGTCCTGAAATTGACCGCATCATCAACATCTTCTTCACTGGCTCCCTTGGGGAAGTGTTCCGCCGTGTGCCATTGGCAAAGCTTTTTGCACCTTTTATGCCATCAGTCCGCAAGCTGTTTAAAGATTATAATGCCCACCTCGACTTCGCTCTTCAGAAAGTAAGAAAACGAATAGCAAGAGGAAATGACCGCGACGACTTTTTCGGGCACATCATTGGAGATGATTCCAATAAACCGAACGAACTATGGCTTCGAGCTGAGGCTGAGATTCTACTGGCGGCTGGCACTGACACCACTGCAACCTCGATCGGTGGCATGACATACTACCTTTTACAAGCACCCAAAACTCTGGAGATTCTGCAGAAAGAGATCAGAACTACTTTCACTGACCATAGCGAGATAGATGAGTTGTCCACGCAGAAGCTTCCGTATTTGAACGCCGTGATCGAAGAAGCACTGCGACTTACTCCTCCATTACCAATTAACCTGCCACGGACATCTCCCGGGGGACTTGTTGACGGAGATTTCATACCCAAAGGCGTGAGTAGGGCCTCGACGCCCTCAATGCTCGTATCTGACCATATTTTAGACCACTGTTACCACTCACCAGTACACAATGCACCGCCACCCAAAATACTGGACCGAGCCCGACGAATTTCATCCCGAGCGCTTTCTTCCGTTATCCCACCCGTTGTATGATACGAAATTTCGCAACGATAACTTGGAGGCATCAAAACCGTTCTTGACCGGACGTCATACTTGCATCGGCAGAAACCTGGCATACCTGGAACTGAGAATTATCTTGTCCAAACTGGTGTTTCTTTTTGACTGGGAAGCCACGTCAACACTAGGGCCTGGTAAGGATATTGACTGGAAAAGGGATTTGAGCGCAAAATTCATGTGGGTGAAACCGCCACTTCGAGTTAGATATATCCCGCGTTCATAGGACATGCACTGTGTGCCACGAGGACAGAGCAGACTGTTCTTTGCGCGAGGAATATTCCTTGACCAAATCCTAGCATGATATCGCTACTGTACACAATACATGCAGAGAGATGAGTGATGCATGTAAGCCATCTTTCGACAGTCGTCATCACACCGCAAATGCAGATAGACAATGGGACCAGTATTTACTATTGGACCGTTCTTGTGATTGTCTCAGATCTTGGAAGCCCTGTGCTGTCTGGACCGTCCGACTGTACTCGATATATCTGAATCAGGCATGACCGAGTCTGGGTATGGATAGTCACGTCCAGGACCATACCCTACCCTCCAGGAGGCACCGTCGACAACCAAAACCTCTCCGTTCACATAATTTGCGGCGTCACTGAACAGAAACACTGTTGCATCTGCAATATCCTTGACGACACCCCAGCGGCCGAGAGGCAAACTTTTCCACGGTTGTTGACCGGGCGACCACCCCTTGACCAAACGACTAAAGCCTTCAGTATCTCCAATCGGACCTGGTGCAATGACATTAGAGGTAATGCCGAGAGGTCCATACTCAATTGCGATGCTGGCGCTGAGAGCGTCGACACCAGCTTTGGCGACGTTGACATGACTCTGAAGGGGAATACCCGTATAGTGGTTGGTTGCGCTGACAAAGATTATTCGCCCCGACGGTCCGGAGGCTGAGTGACGCTTAGTACTTTCCAACAGGTAAGGTAGGCAGGCCTTGGTGACATTGAAGGAGCCTTGGACATCGATCTCTTGCACCGTCTTGAATGCGTTGACACTCAAAGAATTGAGAGGAGCGAGGAAATTGCCTGCTGCTCCAGCACTGAAAGCCATCTTGTCTTAGCCTCGTTGCAACTGATCCCGAAACTCATCTTTCCGACTCACATGAGAAAATCGACCCCTCCAAGTTCTCGAGCGCAGCTTGCTAAAGCCCGTTCAAGATCCACAAGGTTTCGTACATCAACGCCGCCGATTCCTAGGACATTTGAGCCCGACCGCACACCAGCGATATCCTTGGCCACAGCGTTCGTCTTCTTGTCGTTGCGACCAACGATGCATGCGTTCGCACCTAGGGCTACCAAAGCCCTCACCTGAGCAGAACAGATGCTGCCATTCCCGCCAGTACAGAACACCACCTTCCCATCTGGCACGACGGTCAATCAGTTAGCTTCCCCAATTTGACAGTCCCATGGGCTGACACGATAGGCCAAGAGGCGCAAGGATGGGTGGCTTGATTACCAAAAATTCCGTCTCTCCAGACTTGGCTAACAATGCCAGACCTTTCACGAGACATGTTACCCTCTCCTGTGCGCTGTTTCCGACCACAAGAACTCTGTAGGAGCAACCTGGAGCTGCCAAATGGAAATTTAACCTCTACTGTATGTACGAGATCGTGCCACTCAACATGAGTCGATGTGAGCAATCACGTGGGGCCTCTTAGACTATACTATAGCTAGCAGCCGCGGTTTTTGTTTAAATTAGGCTTGCCGGGACGGCCAATCATTCATTCCTTTGCCGTCGGGCCGGCGGCATTTTTTCTATCCGGGAGGACTCCTTAAGCTCACAGCGTGTACTCCGCACTCCGTATCTCTACCCTCAAATTATATACCGCGGCTTCCTTTTTTATCTACAGGTGGTAGTTCGTGGTTTCGAATGGACCGGCCACCTACGGAGATGATGGATGACTGGGGCGTTGCCAAAGCCAGACAATCTAAGCCCTTGTCATTCATTCGGGCTCGAGTAGGGCCTGATCGCTCCTCACGAAAGCGTGCCCCGGTTGCGTGTAGAGCCTGCCACACACGCAAAATCAGATGCGATTTGAGTCAGCACGGGCCTCCTTGTTGGAACTGCCGACAAGATGGAAAAGATTGCATGCTGCCTTCACCTAGGTTTGACCTCCCAACCCAATCCTTGAGATGCCGGCCCGCTCTTTCCTCCCGAGAGCCCAACAATCATGCCGACCTTGCCCTATGTTTTCCTCGCCATCTCCTACAGAGATCTGACGTCTCCCAAAGAACAACCCTCGCGCGACGTCGAGCACGGCAAAGCGGCAGCAATGCAATTTCGCCCGTAAATCAAACGTCTCAGGATTCATTCCCTGCGGGATGTCCTTTCCCTACAGCCGTTCCAGCTTCAGTCCCAGCATCACAATCCAAAGGACGGCACCAGAATGATTCTGTAGAACGATGTTCTCCCGAGCTCTACTCAGATTTGGATCAGAATGTCCTTCATGGCAGCTCAAGTCATGACCAAGCAGGCGAAGACGACGATCCAGGCGATAATGGCACTGTCTACAGAGATGTTTTGTTGGACACTAAGAAGCCATATTGTTATACGGATCCACTGTATCTTGGTGAGTTGTCCGTGCTGAGTTTCATACTGTGCGTACTCACGACATGTGTCGTCGCGCAGGTGACGCAAATGTTCTATCTCTTGTGCTGGATATCTGCCAACACCCTCGCCCTTCTCATTACATGGTTCCACGTGGAGCTACGCGCCCACTCTCGCCGGAAGAAAGTACTTTCATCGAGGCCGGAGGTTGCTACTCCTTCCCGGACAAAGAAATCTGTGAAAGGTTGACGCAGGCATACTTTAAGCATATCCACCCTAACCTACCTATCATGGAAGCGGGTCGCTTTATTGCACGATTTCGTGATCGAGGCACAGATGGACTTAATCTGCTTCTTATGTGGAGTATGTTCTTTGCTGCATCAAGTGTATGAAGACCTCGCCAAATCGAAAGCAATCTGATCCTAATCATTATCTAGTTTGCCGATGAGAATCTAGTGAAAGGAGCCGGTTACATTTCCCGCAAAGCCATGAAGCGGGCTTTCTTCAAACGAGCAAAGGTACGACTACGATCCCCCTATCATCCCTCAAGATTATCTATCCTTATCAGACACAAGAATAACTCATGATATATTGCCTTGCCTTCAGATTCTCTACGATATTGATTATGAGAGAGATAAGATCATTCTCATTCAATCTGTGATCCTCTTGAGTCACTGGTTTGTTGATTCGGAAGATCGAAATGGACCTTGGTACTGGATTGGAATCGCCATTAGTCTTGCCCATACCATGGGGCTGCATCGATCCTTGAAACATCCGAGCCAGACGGACACCAGGGATCCAGGCATACACCAAAGCTTATGGCGCTCGATATGGTGGTCATGCTATTTTCGCGAAGTCTGGATCTCATATGGTATGGGACGACCTATGAGGATACATTCAAATGATGTCGATGTCCCTATGCCAACGGTCGATGATATAATGCGTCTTAGCACCGTTGAGGACAGACCGGAGCTCCAAGAATACCTGCCGCGAGATATGTCTTCCCTTGCCGTGTGCTGGATTAAACATCTCCATATTGCAATTTGTATCTCGAAAATTCAGTATGTCCATTATGAGCCGACGAAGGAAAACCCAACGACGACGGATATCGCTAAGCACGAACATGAACTCCTTCAATGCTTCGGAGCGCACAGGATTTCAGACCCGACAGCCAGCATGGAACTGCAGTTGGCTACTCTCCAGATTGCAGTCACTGAACAGTAATGACCCGCATCCTTGTCCTTGTTGCGGTTTGGCAGGAGTAGTGGGAACTGACCAATGTTTTGAAGGGCGGTTCTCGCAACACTTTACCGTCCCTACATATTTTCTCGACCGACAGACCTAAATCCAGATCAGTATCAGACATGGCGTTCAACGGCATTGGACAAGCTTGTCACAGCGGCTTCAACCGCGCATGGATCCCTCGTGAAGCTGAGTCAACTAGGCCTCATCAATCAGTGCCAATCATTGATGTAAGTACTATGTATCCTGGTCAAGAGATGAGTAGTGTCTGGCTCGTTCGCGCTTGGGCTACCTATGGCTGACCGGAAATTAGTGTATGCGCCATCATGCCAATTATGCAGGTGTACCTATATGGGATCACGTCTTCCGACAAGCTAATACGTCGAATCAACACCCATCAACTACACAGCTGCTTGGAAATACTATCTGCACTTCGGAAGACCTTTTGGCATGCCGGCTGGGTTTATCACATCTTCGTTACAGCACAACGGAAGATCTGGAACAAGCTTGCCCACACGTCCGCCGACGACAACCAGTGCGCCAGGGCAGTTATTCCTACTCGTCTATCGACCCCGCTACGCGCAGTTACTGCAGCCTTGCCTCCTGAAGCCTCGGTGCCTGAATTCGAAGCATTGGGACTCCTTGACCTCGAAGGAAGCACTACTAGCCCGGAATTTTCAGCCAATTTCTTTTTCCCTTCAGATGAGAGTCTATTTGAGTTAAATCTGGACTCTCATAACAGTAATGCCACGTGGTAAGTTGCGGGCGGTTCTGCTTTTTTTGTAGACCAACATCAGCAGCCTTCTGAGCTTACTAATCATACATACTAGTAGTGGCCTCTTTGATAACGCCTGGGACCTCGAAACGATTCAGTACGCTTCCAAGTGAGGTACAGTACAGACTTCTATAGTTGGTATCAGACCGGTCTGGATTCATTCAGTCTGATCTATCGAGGCCATCACCACATCAGTTCACACCATGACCTGAGAGATTAGTCGCTTTGGATCAACTTCCATACCAAACACGGCCACACTAACATGGTCGAAGATTCGTCCGTCATTTGATCAATCAAATACCAACGGCGTTGGAGGAGCAACAGGAGAGAAGCAATGGACTAAAGACAACTGGATTGGGAACCAGATTGGAAATACTCCCGATCCTATGTAATGACAAGTCTCTCAAGACTGATCCGTAGGTACCACGACCTCACATACCGGAGCTCACGTCTGATCTGGGGCGAGAGAGAGTGTAGTTGGTAGCCAGGGTGCACTCCTCCTTACATGAAGATCAGCACTCCCTTGGCACGGCAGAAGAAGTATAAAAGGGCCGTTTAAAGAGGCCAACGCCGCCACATCACCAACTAAGCCCTCTTCCTCGATCCTAATCTCCCTCTTCGCCTTGAAAGTTATGTGGGAACACGCTGTCGAGAGCAGACCTGGCATTCTGCCACAGCTGAAGAGAAACGACCTCGAAGTCAGGAAGAATGTAGTTTCCGATCGGTCTCCCTCTCTTTAGAAGGATCCAGGACTTTATCATCGCCTTCCTAGTAGGAAGCTTTTAAGAGACTTTCATGTGCTATAATTTACCTCTTCTCTTACGTTGACGTCTTTTACTACGTTAATTAACTGAGCCTGGAGGCGTACGCTACGCTCTGAGTAAACGTATAGGTATATACTAATATCAGGAATGCCTTATTAGAGATAGGTAGTACTCAGCGATAGATCGATTCTATAGTAATAAGTATCCCATTACGTATAGTAGTAATAAGACTCGAAGAATAAGAAAAGGATACTTATTACGAGATGCTTTACACGTGAGGTATCCTAAGTAAACCCGAGGTAGTTTACTTAGTAATATAGTAGTAGAACGGTATAGTAGAGACGAAACTAAGAGTATAGTATACGGAACTATACGTAAAGTACTTAACCGAGAGGAACTCGATTATTTATGAACGAGGTTAACTACGAGGAGAAACTATAAAACTATCTTAACTTATATATGTGATGGGTTGAACCCAGAAGGAGGCTCTATTCCTCCTTCTCTCTCCTCAGATTTATCCTCCTTATTACTAGGTTAGCTAGCTAGTTGTAGAACTCTTTCTAAACCCTCACAATATAGAAAGGAAACTCGTTAGTACTCTCTATAGCTCTATTCAGCCTTAAGAGTATAATAGAGTAGGTAGCTCTCTATGGCTCTGTTCAGCCTTGAGAGTACGATAGAGTAGGTTACGTGTCCGCGTACGTGGCTCCCCGCTTCTTACGTTACTGCTCCGGTACACCTTCTCCCTCGTTACCTTAGGATGGCCTCTCTCATGGCCTATTCGTAACACTTACCTCGGATTAAGTAGCTTTTACTACCTAATATTATAGATATCGGGCGCGGAGGCGTTAACGGCGGAGGCTCTATCGTAGCTAAGATGACTAAGATTATCGTAAGTAGGGGGGACGAGAGGAGCGTACGGCCTAAACCTTTCTACCGGCCGTCATACGGGTTATTCTACGTAGCGCTAATATACTGCGTCCGGTAGGTATATAAAGGAGCCCCGGGCTCCCTTAAGAGCGATTCCGAACCCCCCTCTAGGATAGCGCCGTTTAGGTCATTAGTTCTACGCCTATCGAGCCTATATAAAGGCGGTAAGCTAACTATAAGCTACCCCGAGGGCTATAATAAGACGTATAACTAGGAGATGACGTAAGAAAGCGAGGCCTTATATTAGGCCGCTTTTTCCAGCGACTACGATCTAGTAGTCTCGGGAGACGTCGTAATACTAGAGTATAAGCTATACTACGAGCTACGAGCCTATAGTGAAGAAGACTCTCTCTCCGGACTAAGCTCCGGAACGGCGCTAGTAAACATTCTAAGCCTTATGTCGTACGATATCCTATAAAGTCTACTCGTTAAGTCGTAATAGATACCGAAGGGTAAGTCTAAATACCCTAATACTATTCCTAGTAATAGTCTAACTAGATAAAGACGAGTTTCGCTAATAAGTAATTAGCGTATAGGCGGAAAACTAGGCATCTACTACGTTTACGTATACCCGACGACGGTTTTAAAGGTCCTAGAAATTAGAAAGGGAGCCCGTATAAATTATAAGTACGGTGACTACGAAGACGAAAATCTACCGGAAAGAGAAACCCTCCCTAGCGATAAAATTACCGCTCTTAAGGGAACCGACTTATTAGCCTTCGCTACCCTTCGTTATCTTAACCTCGACGTTAGACTAGCGCCGGTTATCCCGGAGCCTCCTAAAATATCCTCGTTTAAGTACTACGAAGGCGATTATTTCCCGCTTAAGATGACCGATAGCGAAAATAGTATAGTAATGATATTACGGGCTGCTCACGATAATGCGGAGGAGCTTATAGAACGACTAGGTGATAAACTAGACGATGTCGTATAGGTTAACGAGCTATATTAGCGACGCTTAGCCTAGATGCATTACGTAAGTCCGCCTACTAACCCCCCCCCTCCTTTTCTTTTTTTCCTCCCTTTCCCCTTAGCTAACGAGATCGCTTTTTATAAGAAGGGAAGGATGTAATGACTGATTAACCCTACTATTAGATTTACGGAGATAAGGCCGAGCCGCCTGATATTATGTTCTACCGTATGGCTCTAATCGCCGTAATCCCTCCGGCCTCCGATCGCTTCAGGAAGATAAAGAAATAAAAGAAGTAAAGAGGATGACGATTATTAACTTCTAGTTCTTTTAACGATGAATCGGACGCCCGAGAGATACACGTCTAGGGGAGTCGTGATAAAATTAGTGGTGCCTAGCGGCATCATCAGGTAATAACTAAAGTTACCGTAGGTAGTAACACGGATTTCTTACGGGGAAAGTAGCCATGTACCTAGTACGGTGGGGGTCTCAGATTCTCTTTTCTTTACCGGCGCGCGGGACGCGTCCGCCTTGCCGGGCAGTTATTGATGATGTCTCTAGTTGTTTAGGAACACTACGAACCTTGCTGATATCGACGGATGGGGTTTTTTCAACTGAGAAAGACTCCATGCTGTCACTTCCGAGGATACGACTCGAATTCTTCGGGAATATTGCTCAATGAGAGTTGGGGCAGTGTGGCGGAATGAACGCCGTGATTGTCTCCAAGTTTCCAGTGTTCGAGATATCATTCACACCATTGGGATGGTGTAGATACTGCAGTACATCCATGAGAGGGAAGAAGATGTTGCGGCAATCAATATGTACCTCTTTGATCCGGTACGCCACGATTTGATACCCAATAGATGATATCGCCCTCCTGATGTTACAGTCCACAGGGTCAAGATCAGACTCAAGTGATTCAGCTAGAGGAGACCGGGAAAACTTAACTGTGGAAGAAGACACCGCACTCGTTCAGATCATCGAATGGCCCCATCCGGTCAAACGGATGCATTTGTACCACCTTCCTGTTACCTGAAAATGAGTTGGACTTTCGTTGGCGGATATCTCAGTTTATCGGACATCTGCTTGGCTCCGACACGGTTCCTGACCCGGTATATATGTTTGATCAGTTCTTAGCAAGAATATTGACTGATATATACTGCCTACAAACCTAAGGCTTTCTTCCTTATTTCTCATATGCTTTGGATACCACCTGGAGGAACACTAGATATCCGATACAATCTACCATCCTTTGGCCCTGGCACATCACGCGAGGGCTCACTTTCTGTCTTCTCAGTCTCCATCTAGCAAACTCGTCAAAAAGATCCTGGAAATGATCTTTACAAAAATGGTACTCCGTCACCGAAGCCTGGTTACCGTTCCCATTATTACAACCACGTTTGCACTCATCTTACTCGGATCGATTCCAGCACAGTTCTCCTCCTCTAACCCGCTGCATCTACAAACGCCGTATGGCTCTATCCTTGGTCGTTATGAGACATCCCCATTTGGCACAGCTCGTGCTTTCTTTGGCATCCCTTTCGCACTACCGCCGACTGGAAACAGGCGATTTACCTACCCTGAGCCATATAATTCTACGTAGCATAACGAGTTTATCAATGGCACCCAGCCGTCCTCTCTTTGTTTCCAGTCGCCCTCAGCCTCATACGGTCCTTATCTCGGAGCAGAAGATTGCCTTTACGTGGACATATGGGTGCCGACAAATTCTACTGCAGATGAAAAGCTACCCGTTTTGGTCGAAATTCCAGGAGGTGGATACGTGGAAACGTCGTTTGCTGCAGGAGCAGATGTGGTTTCTCTTACTGAGGCTGTGGTATACGTCTTCATCCATTACCGCGTGAATATCTTTGGGTTCTTATCGACTACGGGACTTTCCCAGGAAACATCCCCATATCTTTCAAGCGGTAACTACGGACTGGCTGATTGGACACTGGGTTTACAATGGGTTCACGACAATATTGATCTATTCGGCGGAGATCCCAACCGGGTGACCGTCCACGGCTCCAGCGCCGGAGCATGGGCAATGAGCCTAGTACAGGTCACCCCCAAAACGAAAGGCTTGTTCCAACAAATTATGGTGGAAAGTGGCGGAAGTGACCAATCCATCACAGTCAGCAGCTTGGAGAAAAAGGAGGTGCTAGGCCAGACACTGGCATCCGCGGCTGGCTGTCCATGGAACGAAACATCGGACCCGGACTACGCACTGCAAAACGCTTGCCTAAGGAACGCCAGTATTATCGATCTTATGGAGGCGTTCATTCCTCAGGACACCTTCCTGTGGTATGACGAACATGCATTGTTTCCAGCACCGGATGGTTGGTGGCTACCGGATTATCCGCAGACACTCTATGACAGTGGCGCTTTTCATCAAGTTCCCATCCTGGCTGGCTCTGCTATGGACGAAATGAACCTCATTCAGTTTCTGCCGTATTTGAATGTTTCTGGCCAATGGTTGTATAATGCAACAGCATGGGAGGATGTCGCTGGGTGGTGCAAAAACTTCACTTCCAAGTGCGGTGTCAACGTTTCTGCCACCGGCGCTCTCAACGATTACTATCTCGATCCAAATCGCACGTTCGACGTGCGTGTGAACCGCAACTCCACTGACGGTGTGGGCACCAACATGGGTCCTTATGCTGCTATGGTGGAAATTAGCAGCGGGGTTATTTTTCAATGCCCTGTGCGGCGTAATCTGCGCCATCAAGCTTCAGCTGGCCAACCTGCTTTCGGATATACCTTTGGATATCGGTCCCCCAACGCTGCTGGTGGTGTGGCCGCTTTTGCCGAACACGGTTCGCAGTTAGGTCTGGGGTTCGACCCCCTTGCTCCTTACCTGACCAACACAAGAGACGAGTTCATAGCTCATACCATGCAACAGTACTGGGCTTCGTTCGTCATCAACGGGTATCCGAACAATTTCACGGGCATTGATTTCTCCTTCGGGGTCAATCAAACACTTCCTCGCTGGCCAAGTCAGACAGAGGCAGGTGACACTGTGCTCCGTATCGGTAACCACGACGTCATGCAAGATTCTACTATCGACACGGTAACAGGAGCGTACGCCTACTGCGACCTTCAGGATGCAGTCATTCCCTCCTATACCTACAGACCGAATTGTGCCCCCGGCTATTCGCTCACAAATGACTTCAAGGGCTGCGCGTAATGATATCTCTTTGCTGCTCTACACAATAACACAAAGGCTCCGTATCTGGGAAAAGCCCGGGGCTGAAACAGAGCCAGTACGGCACGGCAGTGGACCTGTCTGGCTCTGAGGGATCGACCAGAGATCAAAGAGACCAGCAGAGGCAATGACGCTATATACTTATAGAGGTCACTCTACCCACTTTTGTAGACCTCACAGTCAACTTCGTCCTCAAATCTAACCACTACTGCTGATGTTCACTTAGATCCAGTCAGCCTGCCTTTGAGTTCAACAGTGTCCCTGCTTTTTATCCCACTTATCTACGAACTGATATGTCTAATGCTCCTCCGTATCAATTCTTGACACATACCTGGTATTTGTCTCGGTTGAGCGTACTTTAGCCTCGATGAGATGAACAAACCAAGTGCCATCAAAATAGTAGTACTTATAATCCACCAAGAGCATGACAGTGCTTGCGGTCATCGCTTGACTTCCTTACCACAGGAAAGTGCAGAACTCTGGATCCTTCCCAAATGGAGAATGGTCAATATTGAGACTCCAGTTATCGAATTGATCTGAGTAATTATAATTATTGCAATTAACAGGCCACTCGATGTTCCGTCCACCATTTTTGAAGTTGGACTCTGTAGGTGCTTTGGCTGATCTCCCAATCACCTGTGCAGACCTCTCTTCGTTCCAGTACTCATATGGGCGGGCCTATTCGCTGCAAACGGTATCGGTTGACTCTAGGCCGTGTGCTCAGCTGTTCGGGGTCCGCGTTGTTGGCAACCTTTCTCGGACCAGGGGAAGTGTGCCACCGGAATGATAACAAAGCTATTGGACGTGTCTGCGAGGCCGGCAAGAGCATTATACCAAGCCAGGAAGGCAGCTGCGAGACCAAATGCCCCTCCAGCACGAGTAAGATGAACGTTGGTGCTTCCAGTTGTCAAGTAGGAACACGCTAACATCAAAAACGCCAGATCCAAGGTCAGGAAAAGGAGAAAGAATGCGAGAGTAGACTTCAAGGTGCACACGAGGAGGATGGTGGTGAAGATGAAACATCCCTATTACCGTAGTTAGCCATCTTGGGGCAAGACAACCTGACATTGTCACTTACAAACAGGAAAAATGCGAATGAATTTGCAAACGCCTGTGCACCACCAGCCTCTTCGATAGACGAGACGATTTGGAAACCGCCTGGAGTGAGGACTATAGCGAATGCTATCCAAAAGCCACCGTAGGATGATAGAGCCGTAGCACCGAAGGTATTCCCAATAACCATCTACCTGTACACAAGTCAGATGACTTTCTGAAAAACAAAGCAAGCCCGGAGACGCATAATCAGGACTTACCACATGCCCGCAAGTAATTGTACAAGCCCGCCATAACCGAACGCGAGAGCGACCACAATATTGGGTGCGTCTACCCCACGAGCACCGCAATTGATCAAGCTGAGCACAAAGGTTGTCAATGCGAAGGCGCATAGGCCGAGAGGAGCAGGATTCGCAAATTTCCGACTTGCAACCCCTTTGTAGAGACCGGGCTGGAATTCGCCCCCGAATGCTGAAAAGAATCAGACCAGACATCTTTGCCGCCTTTGTTATTAACATGGGACATTGCATTGCTTACCGGGAAGGAGGTCTTCAACTTCTGACGACTTCAGATGCGCAAGAGGTCCATACCCAAAACGTGACGCGTGTATCGCCGCAGTTTTCTAGATAGGGTCACGTGGTATTATAACCACACCCACCTACAAGGCTTGAGTGCAAGGACCATTCCTTCTTTGCACCGAAGATTATAGTCGAGACCGCCTGCACAACTGGCCCAATACTCTACCTGGATTCTTGACAGTGCAGCGCTTGCCAGAGGGAAACTAATCTTCCGAGTTAGCCGATTGGCCGTACTGGGGCGCGATTTGACCCAGCGACGCTGGAAACGAAGGCCTCTGGAATCGAATCGGGCTTCTGACACTATCTATTTGTACGGTCAGTCAAGGGACCGAGGACACGTAACCTTCCATTTTTCCCTCCTATAATGATATAGAGTTCTTGGTCAGACCACTCCCCATTCTCGTCTGCCAAGCGGAAATATGAGAATTGTCGAAATATTGGCTCAGCCCCCCAGATTGGGAAGTTTCAGATAAGCGAGACCCACCATTTTTGTGGAATACCGACTAGATAGCCACTAGTATTACGCACTATTGAACATAGCCTTTGGGCTCCAATTATGGGGTACCCGAAACACAGGATCTTGCTAGAGAGGGTATACTCGCTTGCGAGTGACTTAGTAGATGTACAAGTAAATGAGGATTCAACCACTTGGGTGATGGCGACCTGCGCAAGACGACTCTAGTTTTTTCTTTCCGTTATGTTTTACGTATGTGGTGCGTTTTGTGAGAGATGTTTTACTGGAATTCCGTTGGGCGAAAGGCCGCCACTGCAAGATTCAGCATTATTTCCAGTATAGATTTGGCCTGCTTGGGCCTCCGGAAAGCCTCGATTGAATAGAATCAGCCCTAGTGATCTTGGCTGGGCCTAGACTCTAGTATAACCTGTCAGAGAGTAACAACTGTCGCCACACGAACCATACCTAGGTATATTCGAACGCTAGATGAACCGCTAGAGCACAGCCCGAGGAGGAGAGGGCGATCACATGAATACAGATGGTCGCCAACTAGTACCTGAAAAGAGCGAACCTACCTATAGGATGAAGGTTGTGGTCGGCTCTTTATCGTCTGAGCCCAGCAACTATAAAGGTACAAGTCCCGTTGCCCTTGAGGGGCACCTTATCAGGGAGATCCAATCCGCTTTCAGTTTTGACAACTAAAGAGCATCATGAAGCTGATTTCAGTCATATATCTCTTCTTTTCAAGCGCTTTCGCCTGCTCACGTGTGGCGTATAATGCAGGAGCTCAGGATGGCAATCGCATCGTGGTAGCACGATCTATGGACTGGTTAACGCCCACGAATTCGACGATTTATGTGTTCCCCGCGGGCCTTAATCGAACAGGCAAAGCAGGAGAAAATTCGGCAAACTGGACGAGCAAATACGGCTCTGTGATCCTGACGGCCTACGACATTTCTACCGTGGACGGCATGAACAGCCAAGGCTTGGTCGCAAATCTCCTGTACCATGCGTCAGCCGACTACGGTCCAAGGAATCTATCAATGCCCGCAATATCAATTGCCATATGGCCGCAATACTTCCTGGATCGGTATAGCAACGTCAGTCAAGCTGCCAATGATATGTTCGACAAGGACGGTCAGCCCAAATTCCAAGTCAGGACGAAAGAGGTCGTCCCAGGAGTGAAGACCGAACTGCATCTCAGCCTCACCGATGCGACAGGCGACAATCTGATTCTCGAATGGATCGGCGGAGACCTGGTCGTCCACCATGGGAAACAATACAACGTCATGACCAATGAACCCAATTTTGATTCACAGCTCGCCATTAATGAGTACTGGGCAGACATTGCCAATGTCTCTCTGCCTGGAACAGATCGACCGGCGGATCGATTCGCGCGTCTTTCACATTACGTCAACGTCGCCCCAGGTTCAACCGATCAGACATCAGCTATATCGACGGCAGCTGGCATGATCCGTGCAGTCAGCGTGCCAATGGAGCCCATTAATGTTAAGACGCCTAACATCACCCCAACTTTGTGGAGGACCTATGCAGACACCAAAGCGAAGATGTATTTCTATGAAAGCGCCTCGGATGGCAAGTTCTTTTGGGTTGATTACTCTGACATAAACTTGGGAAAGACTGGTCAAATCATGAAACTACCTCTGATAGGCGTCAACTGGACCGACAGGGTTGGTGACATGACGAATGAACTGGTGGAGTCTGCTTCCTTCCAGTTCTTAGAAATAGATACTTAATCTGGGTGTTACGGGCTGGCATTCATGCAACCATGGCCATGCAAGGAGAGCCTCGTTGGCTAGGCGGAAACCATCACTTTTCATGCAAATGACATGACGACGCGAGATAAGTCCTTAGACCTTTAACTACTACGGATGCACTATACTACGTGGTAGACACCTGTCAGAGCTGCTTCCTGTATGGCTTAACGGGGTTAAGCTTCCTTAGTCACAGTTCCTTTATTACATGAGCTAGGTCGAGAGTACGTAAGGTATGAATAGTCGAGTGACTTCAGAACAGTATAGTGAAGTAGATGTCATAAGTTAGCTACGAGAGAGTGTAACTATAAAAGGGTAATGAGCGTAGCTATATACTTATGAGGCATATCCTGAATAGGTAACTAGTATGAGGGTTTAGAAAGAGTTCTATAACTAGCTAGCTAACCTAGTAATAAGGAGGATAAATCTGAGGAGAGAGAAGGAGGAATAATGTCCCCTCCTTCTCTCCTTATATCGTACGCTCCTCCGTAAGGGATACTTAATGTCTTCCCCTTTCTCCCTTATCCTTCCTCTTTCGTACACGCCTTACGTTTCCCTTACCTTTTATCTCTCTTCCTTACCTTCCCTTACGTACGGTGTCTCAGCTTGCCAGGATTCGGTATCCCTTGTACGGTACGTGCCTCGTCTAATCAGGAAGCTGCCCTTTTACCTATATAATGTATAGGTAAATTTAGCTAATTAGGAGGTGGCGTTAGTCCTGTCGTTAGTCTTGGCGCTGGTTCGTTAGAACCGAGCCTCCTTCTGGGTTCAACCCATCACACTGTAGGGTAAATACAGCTTTAAGTTAAATTAAGTATATACCGAGTTTATTTCGTTCCTTATAGAAGTATTCGACCTTAAGGTCATCTTTCATCTTTACTACTTCTATAGTACTGACTGATGCTGTGTTAATACTAGTAGTTAACGGGTTAGGCTATTAAGTAAGCCTTAGTTTAGGTGACTTAGGGTTAGAACTACTAGACATCGTTATCGATATTATTAACTATTTAAGGTAGTAGTTAAAATGTTACGGGATACTTTATACGTAAGGTACCATAGTAAACTCGAGGTGGTTTACTTAGTAATATAGTAGTAGAACGGTGTAGTAGAGACGAAACTAAGAGTATAGTACGCGGGACTATACGTAAAGTACTTAATCGAGAGGAACTCGATTATTTATGAACGAGGTTGACTACGAGGAGAAACTATGAAACTATCCTGACTTATATAGAAAGGAAACTCGTAGGTGCTCTCTATAGCTCTGTCTAGCCCCGAGAGTATAATAGAGTAAGTGGCTCTCTATGGCTCTATCTAGCCTTAGGAGTATAGTAGAGTAGGTGGCTCTCTGTAGCTCTATTCAGCCTTAGGAGTACAGTAGAGTAGGTCACGTGTCAGTACACGTGACTCCCCCGCCTCTTGCGTCACCGCTTCTGGTAGACCTTCTCCTTCGTTGCCTTGGGGTGGCCTCCGTCGTGGCCTGTTCGTAACATCGTGGATGAATTCGCACTCGTTATACAGATTTTTGAAGATAGCGATGTAGTCGTCTTAGATATTAGAGTCAAGCTCTTCAAGGAACGGTTTGAGCGTCTGGACCGTCAACAGGACCGTCAACATGAGTGGAAGTGATTCACTTAAGGATGTATCGACCAAGAGGTAATGATCCGAGGACGTGGATGAAAATTGAGGGCGCAGGCAGCAGTTGCGCCAAGGATTCTTGACAACGGAAATGGAAAGCAGGATGAAGGAACCTTAGTCATTGTGTCACATCGAGAAGCACATGAATTGCCAACCGATTGAGATCTGGCATAAATTAATACAGTAGTACCTTTAAGAATGTGTTGTGGCTGATATTATACTCGGAACTTATGACTAGCCTTGGTTAAAAGAAGTCATCATGGAGATTTTTAAGGAGTAACCCAAGAGGGTTTAGCGCGGTACAAAGGGCCCCAGTCGTGTACCCTACCTTGGTGACAAACTTGCGGAGCCTAGTCTTACTACTAACTGCTCTTCCGCTACCTTACTTCAGACAAAGACTTTGCGGTTCCGCGCCTCATTTTATTCGTGAATGTAATTCATACAGGTAGCTAAGTCACGGTGATGTCTATACAGGAGGTTGTATCTGATGATAGTGAGAAAGTTATGTAATAAAGTATTTACTTCCGTACTATCTTGACATGATTTAGCATTACAAACGCCCTCTGGTTTGTAGTATACTACCATACTTGTGAGAAGTAATCGTGAATCAACCCATGACATATCGATATGTTTCAAACTGACACCAGTCTTGAGCTACCTCGATCATTCTCACTCATTTCTTGCATTGCCATCCAGTAAATTTATGAGCGCAGCTGCATGTCTTCACACAAGGATGACTGTGACATAC